ACTAAATTTATTGTTAATAATAAAAATTGTCATTTTTTTTCTAATGGAAATTGGCATATGAATTGGAAAATCCTATATTCAATTTTACATTGAAATGTTTATGAATAAATCATTGAATTAATGGTATTAAGAACAATATGATTGAACTGCGAGGTTTTTTTTTTCATCACGTGCTCATGACATCACTCGTGATAAGATCCAACGATTTTGCCCCTAATACCTCGTCATCACATAATTTTTTTTTTTTTTTTCATTCCATCGAAATATTTTCTTTTAATTTTGAAACAAAAAAACCACCAAATTTCTCAGGTACTTGGAATTTTTCAATTAACACCAAGTAACTTACTAAATCACTTATAATTTTCACTTTAATTTTTTTCGAATCCTCAATGAAATTATTATCACAATTTCAAAACGATACCGGATGTCACATAAAACTTCACTTAATCCTTGTGTTCTTCAATATTGTTGTTTCATTAAAAAAAATAAAAAAAAAAAAATTTAAATAGAAGGAAAAATATTGAAAATAATAAAAAAAATTTAATTTAAAAAAATAAAACAAAAATATAAAAGAAAATCTTCAAGGACTTGAATTGACAAGTAGAAATAGAAGGTGCGTTTGAGACATTGAAATGTGGCGCGACGGTGGCGTCTGACAGTTTGAAGTTACAACGCAAGACTCGTCTGCATTACTGCAGTTTTAAATGCACTTTACGTTTTGAAGGAGGAGCGCGCTTATTTTCCCACCGGTTCGAATTTATTCGGCGATGCACGACCAAGAAAGAGAAAGAGAGAAAGAGATTGTCCGCATATGATTGTTAACTGTCTAGAGTGTAGACTTCCTCCAATCGACTTCGTTTTATTGCAGTGGTAATAATTCCCTAACCAAGTACCATCACGTGCTTAAAAGAAACCACTCAATATAATAAACTATATATATATACAAACACCAGTAAAACAAGTGAGACTCATACTATATCTTTGACAAAGTATAACGCTTATCGCTTTTTAAATGGGGGCAATAGGTATTAATTAAACTTCAATTTTTTTTTGTCTATAGAATTCTTTAAATATCTTTATTATTTATCGAATAATAAAAGCGCATTAAGGTACTTTAAAAATATTTAAAAATCGTAATAAAAATATTTAGAATACTTAAAAATATATTAGAGAACATCAGAAAACTTCAGATAACATTAGAGTACAATAGAGTACATCAGAGTACTTTAGAGTACAATAGAGTACATCAGAGTACTTCAGAGTACATCAGAGTACATTAGAGTACATCAGAGAACATGAGATAATATTGAAGTACTTCAGAGAATATCATAAAACACCAGAGTACTTCATAGTACATCATAAAACATTAGAGAACATCAGAGTACTTTAGAGTACAATAGAGTACATCATAAAACATTAGAGAACATCAGAGTACTTTACAGTACAATAGAGTACATCAGAGTACTTCAGAGTACATTAGAGTACATCAGAGAACATGAGATAATATTGAAGTACTTCAGGGAACATCAGAAAACATCCGAGTATTTTATAATACATCAGGGTACATCAGCGAACATCATAGAAAACAACACATTATGTCATAGTACATCAGAGAACGTCAGAAAACATCAGAGTACTTCATAATACGCCAGAAAACATTAGAGTACATCAGGGTACATTAGAATACAAAGGAGTACCTCAGAGTACTTTAGAGTACTTCAGTGTACATCAGAAAACATCAGAATACTTTATAATACGTCCGAAAACAGTAGAATACATCAGAGTATATTAGAATACATAAAAGTACATAGGAGTACATAGGAGTACATAGGAGTACATCAGAGTACTTCAGAATACATCAGAGTACATAAGAGTACATAAGAGTACATAAGAGTACATAAGAGTACATAAGAGTACTTTAGAGTACATCAGAAAACATCAGAATACTTTATAATACGTCAGAAAACAATAAAATACATCGGAGTACATTAGAATACATAAAAGTACATCAGAGTACATTAGAAAACTCCAGAGTACTTGAGAGTACATAAGAGTACATAAGAGAACATCAGAGAACATCAGAGTACTAAAAAATACTTCAAAATATTCCTTTACCCTTGAAAACAGTGAACAATAAATGAATGCTATTACGTTACAAATAAAAAAATTTTTGATTTAATTTTAATTTTAGATAAAAAATCACTCAAATCGTAATTACGTAAAATTAATTTTAAAACATCTGGTATCTATTTTTTTTGTCAAGGTTCTTCGTTTATTTGACTAAAGACAATTTTCTAAAGATCTGTTTGTTTAAATTCCACTCTATATTGACATCAAACACCTTATCATTTTTGATTAGATAGCGCGAGTGATTTCGTAAATAGCGAAACTTTCTTTTTTTTTAAACAAAACCTAGATTTTAAAAATTGTGTTTTCTTTACTATTAATTTTTATTCTATTTAACACTTTATTTTCAAAAGAGATGAAAAAAATAAATTAATAAAAATTCCTGTAAAATAAAATATTTCTCTAAATTATAAGTTATTTTTATGTTTCTTAAAACTTTTTTTTTGTGCTGTTTCAGATATTTTTTAATCGTAATCATTGAAACTAAAAACGATCAGATTTCGTCATTCTATATGAGAATGCATTCCGATTTAAATTGCGAAAAATCTTGACATATTTAAAGAAAAAAAAAAAAAAAAAGAAATAAAATATATATTTATTTTGCGAGTAGATTTTTTATCGAAGATAATCGCAATTCTATATAAATTTTTTTTTCATGTAGAAGGACCATTTATAAAAGGTCACGTCGATTTAAACAGAGGTTAATTATGTTAAGCAGCGGTTTAATCTTCAGCCTTGAATGATCGCCTTGTTCTAACTTCCGGTGAGACGAAAAGGGTCTCAAATATATAAGACTCTATTATTGTCATTAATTTCATTTTGTTTATGACGGAAATATTGCGTAAAACAATTAAAAACTTAAATATAAAGAAAAAAAATTTTCTTTTAAATTAATGTATTATTAATATATTTATATTTAAAATGTAATTATAATTTAATACAAATAGAAACATTTGTAAATAATTAAAAAATAAAATTATATTATGGATAATACATAATATAGCATTTGAAATAACAGAGACTTTAATGTTCTTTAATTGGTTATCTTTTTGATTTATCTCTTCTTCCTTCAATTTATTTAAGGTGAGATCACATTTATTTCTTCCAAATGACTCACGATTTGTGTCATTTTTTATAAATTAATGTAAATATAAAAATTTCCTCATAATAATGAAAAATAATTTTCAAAAAATAATTTTTCAGTTAAAAAAAATATAATAAAATAAAACAGAAAATAAAGTTAAAAAATTAACTTTTCAAAAATGATAGTTTATAAATTAAATTTTATCGATTAACCTCGCTCATCACTCTCTTTGACATTTGGGCAATGATTCAGTGAATTATTTATCGATTCAATGAATCAGAAAAAATCATTCTGATAAAAATTGATTGATGGAAAGAAGCTGCTTGACCTTTTTATTTGTTAATAAAGTATTACTTTTTTTTTATAATACATTTACGTGCACAGAAACATGCCGGAGATGACGATTATAGCTCAAGTATACTGCTTGGAGGTCTATTATTATCATACAAACATACAAAAGAAAAAAAAATATGATTCCCCTTTTTTGCAATTGAATATATGTTATTATACAAGACATGAAGTGGATGATCGTTTTATAAATTGCACAAGGCACGAAACGAGGAGTTTCAAAAAAAAAATGGTTAATTTTCACTGATGCAACTTATTTCTATGGTAAATAGAAAATCTTGTTCCTTATTCCTAACTAAGGCATAATTCCTCAGTCGTAAGATGACATTTCTTAGTCGTGAGTTGTCATTCCTATGTCGTAATTATTATGTCGTAAATCCTGAGGCGTAAGTCGTAATTCCTAAGTCGTAAGTTAAAATTTCTCAGTCGTAAGTCATTATTCCTATGTCGTAAGTCGTAATTTGGAATTCCTCAGGCATAATTCTTATGTTGCTATTCCTAAGTCAAGTTGGAATTCTTATGTCATAATTCCTGAGTCGTAAATTGGAATTTCTATTGTCGTAAGTCAAAAATCCTAAGTCGTAATTTGGAATTCCTCAGTCGTAAATCTTATGTTGCCATTCCTAAGTCTTAAGTTGGAATTTTTATGTCGTAATTCCAAAGTCGTAAGTCTTTATTCCTATTCCTCAGTTGTAGTTCCTGAGTCGTAATTTGGAATTCCTCAGTCGTAATTCTTATGTTGCCATTCCTAAGTCTTAAGTTGGAATTATTATGTCGTAAGTTATTATTCCTATGTCGCAAGTCGTAATTTGGAATTCCTCAGTCGTAATTCTTATGCCGTAATTCCTAAGTCGTAAGTTGAAATTCCTCAGTCGTAATTCCTATGTCGTAAGTCATAATTCCTAAGTCGTAATTTGGAATTCCTCAGTCGTAATTCTTATGTCGTAATTCCTATGTCGTAATTCCTATGTCGTAAGTCATTATTCCTATGTCGCAAGTCGTAATTCCTAAGTCGTAATTTGGAATTCCACAGTCGTAAGTCTTATGCCGTAATTCCTAAGTCGTAAGTTGAAATTCCTAAGTCGTAAGTTGGAATTCCTCAGTCGTAATTCCTGTGTCGTAAGTAGTAATCCAAATTTAAGTAAAATAGTATTTACATACATAAAATATTCTAACATGCGCTATTCTTATAGCAAAACATATAGACATAATCAAAATTAAAATAGCATTCAGAAAATTTTGGCATACACAATTTTAATGTTTAATTTATGTGACGATAGCATTTTGATTTTATTTAACTTTGTGGCTCCCCGATATGAGCCCTGCCAGTGCTTGGTTATAATTTTTGGACGGGAACAATTATCATGAGCATAAAAATAATGAAAACAACAATGAACACCGAATAAATAAAACAAAATTTTTTGAAATAAAATGATATTACCTTGAAAATCGCTTCTGTAGTGCTGGGCTTTAGGCGGTGGTGGTGGTGGTGCGATCGAGTACTCTATGGATGAGCGAAAAAAACGAAAATAATAAGTAGCTTTTCTAGCACAAATCGCTGGAATCGAAGCTTTAAACTTGAATCCAACTTCCTTCCGTGGCGCAACTCTTCATACCTTCTATCGATATTGGCGTTGCTTTTTATATATAGATATATTTTTTTAAATTCGAATCATTTTTTTTTTTCATTTTCAATTAAAACAATCTCTTTTAAACATCATTTTCTATATTATACAATTACCCCCAATCTTCCTGACACACTCTCCACAAAAATTTTTTTTTATTTAATCATGATTATTATAAACAAAATGAAAAAAAATAAGCGTCTACTTTACAAAAAAGCCGGACCTTCAAATGTAACTGTAGGTCTTGCAGTATATGTTGGTAATGGTGGCCACCATGGTCGTGAATCACGTCGAAATGTTGGCGATGGTGGCGGTGGTGGTGGCTGATATCTGTACCTTGGTCTATGTTTACTTGGATCAAATGGTTGATTAGCAAAAATATCATCGTGAGGAGGATGTTTTAAAATTGAAACAGGCGTTCTTGGTCTCACTGGTGATGAGGAAGTGGCTCTTGGTTTTTCAATTCTTCTCCTTCTTCTTGGTGGTGTAATGGAACTTGCGTCTGACAATGCTCCAACTTCCTTAGTTGAATGAGATCGTTCATTAGATTCAAGATCAGGAGGCGATGACAATGATCTTGCATTATCCCGTCGACTGGGATACTTGTGAGCCACCCACCTACCGGCTAAATAGGGTGCAATGTCTCTTAATTCATGAACACTGGGCGTTGAAGTGAACATCTCACCTAACAATGAGGTCTTATCAAATTTTTCAAATTTTTCCCTTACCCTACCAACGGGACGTTTTGCCTTTAATTCCCTTGTCTCCTCCTTACGAGCAATGGAATTACTAGTGACAATGTTTGACGAATCCTTTAGTTCGGCCATTTTACTGATAACATTAATGTGAGGCATTGATAAATCCTCGAGTCTTAGTGGAACACGTGGAATTGGTGGTGAATATCCACGTCGTCTAACTCTTCCTCTAATTGGTAATTCATATTTTCGTCTTAGCCAAGCAACATCAGGAATTTCTTGTGGTTTAATAGTGACTTTTTTCAATAGATTGCGTGCTAATTCAGGATCACTTTGATAGCGTTTTGTGAATATTAATTTGGCACGACCCTCACGTAGATCCTCAAGACTTTCAAATTTATCACGAAGCCTACGCACTGAACCGTTTCGCACGAGTTTTAAATAGGTACGCCAATATTTCTCTGGATCAGGTGATGTGCTTCTATACCAAAGACTCTCGATACTGCACGATGATGTGGTTGATGTGCCAGCACGATATGGACTGACACTGCGTGGTCTTTCGTATTCACGGTCTCTTAAACAAGCGTGCAATTGTCGCGTGCTACTGTCCGGCGAAGCGGATGGACTTCTTCCTTTGATAGTGATCACCCCATGTCGTGGTGATGTTGACCGTGATTGTATTTCATCGATATGAGTTTTATATCTGGCAGATTCAACTTCGCCAAAGAGTTCTTTTAAATCGGCAAAACTTTGCGATGATGAAAGTTTTGGTTTGATATTCTCAAAAAATTCTACTTTTCTTGGCACATGTTCGGATTCAATTTTTTGAACAACTGTTCTTACTGATGACGCGGAACTTTCAGTTGCACTGTCAAATTCACTAGCCGATGGAAGTACTTTCAAAGAATCAGACAATGACATTGCAAGTATTGGTGGTTTTTTGGACCATTCATCAATGACGTTTTCCACTCTTTGAATACTATCGGAATTTGTATTATTAGGTGTCAAAACAAGGAGATAATTTTCCTTTGGTTGGGATTTTTTTAACTGAGCTACTGCTATTGCTCCTCGGGTCTCTTTTGGACTGATTGATCTTTTTTGAACCTTATTTAATACCTCTTTACTTAAGGTGAGGGAAAGTTTCTTTTTCTCAATCTCAGTTAATGAGGAAGGCGTAACACGATCTGACTGAGATCTTTCGAGACTTCGAACACGACTTATGGAGTCGCTTCTTTTTTTTGGAAAAGTTGCCTCTTCCTTATCGACAATCATCGAATGACATCTTACATGAAGCTTTTTATCTTTTTGTTCCACTTCCTCGGGAGGAACAACAATTTCGTAATTTTGTTCCATTGGATTTAATTTCTCCTTAGGAGTAGTACTCTTGATTTGGGATTTACTTTTAGGATTATCACTGCCATAAATTTCATTCAATTGATTCTTTAGGGTATTAACTTGTTCGACTGAAAGGCTACTCCAAAATTTTTTACTTCCACCGAGACTTTTCTGTAGGGTACAAGAGACATTAGACTTGTCGGTATCTACTTTATCGGTAGCTTTTTTCACCATTGTATTTGCTACATTCACGACAGAATTTCCTCGCCAAAGGGGTTTGTAAACATCTTTCTTGGACGCAATCTCCCTCTGTCTGGATGCTTCCAGTTCACTTTCTTCATTAGCCAATTTTTTAAATTGTTCACGAATATTTTCGACTGATCTTTCCTTTAATCGGAGACCTGAGTCACCTCTCCATTTGTATCTATCGACATCTTTAGTACTGTAGAGGAAATCTTTTTCCTTTTGTACGTTACACAATTTTTTGTAAAGTACCTTTAATTCCTGATGTGCTTTCTCTTTGGAACGCACCTCCTTCCATCGATCGTAATCAATTATCTCTTCGTTCTTCATTCTAGGTCTAAGATCACCAGTTGATGTTGTTTTCTCTAATTCTCCCATTTTCTCTAAACTGGAGTAAAAATCGTGTAAATCCTTATAGCGACTAGATTTTTTTCTACAGTGCAGCATCTCAAGAATGTATTGCTGATAATCTTCACGATCAGTTGGAAGTGTGTTTAGAGAACTGCTACTTCTAGTCAATGAGAAATTTGAACCAAATACAGTTTTCTTATGATGACATTCTTCTACATCACTTGCACTTCGGGTTCTAATTTTTTTAGAAATTTCAGAATCTTGTTTTAAATTTCGAATTCTTCGAGAAGAGGGCGATGGAGATGGTGAAGGCGAACGGGAATGGGAAATGTGTTCTGGTAATGTTCTCAAAGGCGGTTCACTCAAACTTCTCTCCTTTGTGTCTCGCATTAAATCGGGACTTCTACCACGTAAGGAGGCTGAAGATCCAAATTCCTCTGAACCTAATAAACTGTCGAATTTGCTGACTTTTTGGAAAATGGAACGACCAGACCAAAAAACACCACCACGGGGACTCGAACATCTGGATGATAGACTTTCGCGTTCCCAATTTTTGAATCTTGAATTGGAGACTGGTCGTTTATTGGACAAGTAAATATTTAATGATCTGAGTGAGGGTTCGGATTTGAAATTTTCTGTTTGAAGTTCTTGGAAGATACGCGCCTTTTCCTGTACGGCTGTTCGTCTCAAGGTACTTGTTTGCGATGGAGTTGGCGATAAATCGCGAAGAAAAAGACTTTGGAAGAATGTATCAGATCTTGTTGCCTCCTGATGCTTTTTTATCTGATCAACAGTTAAGGTGGGAATTTCCTCATCTGAACTGCTTTTTCTTGATTTTTTAGTTCTTGATTTTAGTAATTCCTTCTTTGATGTCTTTTGCTGTTTCATTGTTTTTGATTCCTCGGGATTTATAAGCAAAGTGAGGGGTTTTGATGAGTTTTGGATTGTTTGAGTTTTATCGCGAAATTTTTTCCTTCGCAAATTATCACTGGATGTGATTTTTGAAATTGACGAGGATGGAGAAGAATCTCTTGTCAATTTTAGTTTTGGTGATTCTGATAGGGTTCTACGAATTGCTAGGGGAGATGATGCTGGCGTTATTTGGAGACTTTCTTGGGACTTTTGTAAAATTTTTGATGAAATGGAGACTTTGGATTTTGGTTTAGTAGAATTTGTCACTGTTGTTTTGGATATAATTCCAGGTTTGCGACTTTCTTTGATATCTTTGGAATTATCCTTCAAATGTTTGCATCTGTTCTTAATGGATTGATACTTTGAATTAATTTGACTTTGTTTTGGAATTTCTTTTGAATCTCGTGAAATATCTCTTTTCCCGTCTTGGGAGCAATATTTCTGTATTGCAAAATCTCGTCCCCGGGAAATTCTTTGGCTTCTTTGTATTTCTGTTGAACTATCTTTGAAACAATCTTTTTTCATTAGGGGTTTTTTGAATTCAGATAAATCGGCAGTTGATCTACTGAGTCTTTTACAGGATTCGTCTTGCTCTTTTTTAGTTCGTCGAATGTCCTTTTTCACGGGGCTTAAATTTTTTGTACCGTTATGATGACAAATTGTAGTCTTAGAATTCTTTGAATTTTGACAAATTTTTCTGGGTAGAAAAATTCTCTCCTGTGGCTCACGAGGACGTAGTCTATCAAGACTTCGTGAGAAGGAAGTTTCGGATTTTTTTTGTGAATCAGGAGAAGTGATTCTTGCACGTGAACAAGGACTGGCAGAAGTGGCTCTAATTGAACGAATTTTATGTGCCTCTTCACGATCTTTTCTATGGTTCTCCAAATTGGAATTGAGTCTCTCGCGTAAAACTCTGATGCTGGAAACTTTATCGCCGGCAAAGCACTGCTCGTGTCGTTTTGATGTTTGAGATGTGGTGAATTTTGAATAAAATTGAAGTGTTTGATTATTTTTTGAGGACTGTCTTCTTGGCGGTGATGGAGGTCGAATTGGAGATGTCACTCTTGAGGCAGGCTTTCCCTGTAGTGAGGATAATCTTATTGGTTGTTTTCTATCCGAAAAATGAATTTCAGAAATAGATTTTTTTATAGAGTTAGTCGCCATAGAAGGAGTTGTCCTTTTGTATCGAGCAAATGTCATAGACGATTTTGAAAGCAGGAATGTGGGATTTTTTCGATGAACTCGAATCCGCGTCAAAGTTGGCGAAATAGGGAAATACTCGATCTCAGAGTCGTCTGTGGACAGAGGTTTATGATGTTTGGCTATTAATCGCGATGAATTTCTTGGAAAATTTCCCTTTTACCAAATTTCAAGCCGTGAGAGATCACTTTGAAAATTCAGCGTGCCATTATTATTTTTTTTTTCTTTTTTTTTTTTTTTTTTTGGTAAGATCCTCTTCATTGTGCACGAGGTGTGTGAGAAAAAAGAGAAAAAATCGGCAAAGAAAAATTGAAAATTTGCGTACCAATATCGACAGACGTTTTGAAGACAGTGACGAGTGTAATTATGTTAAGGCGTTCCCAAAAAAATTCTTTATTTTACAATGAACCAAAAAAGCTTTTGTGCAGTAAATAAATGATAGTAAATTTTTTAAATTGCAATAATTAATAAATAATTAGAAAAACAATATTTCAGCGTTAACTACTAAAATTAATTTTAGTGGATAAATATTTAGTTTATGCTTTTTCTTCTGAAATGTTCATAAACCAGATGAAGATTTTTATGATTTTTTTTTATAAAATATTCCAAAGCAATAATATTTGATGCAATACTGAAAATAACATGCACAATTAGACTAATTTCTAATTTTGTCTAAATAAAATAAAGAAATTTACAATTTAAATTGTAATTTCTGCAATACCGTCAAAAATGCTTAAAAAGCTTTCTATCTAATTTTTTTCGTGAAATAAATATATTTTTACATGCTAGTCAGGTCGCAGCTATAAATATCTTTCCCTTTTATTTTATTAATCAATTTCGAACATGCCTGATTAGTAAAATTATTCCGCAGAAATAATTGTACCAAAAAAAAAAATTCTTCTTGTGATTTGTGATAAAAATAAAAGAATATTAAATATTTGAAAAATAAAATTTCAAAGTGTACCCAAATAAAAAAGCATTTAGTTGAAAATTTAATTTGAGGCTTACCTTTAGGGCGTTCCGGTGCAGGTTTTCGAAAACCATGAAGAGGCACGTCTCCACCTTTTTGTACTGTTTTGTACGCTAACCTTTGTTCCAAGGGACTCAAAGGACTCAAAGAATTAACGTCCTCTCTTCGACGAAATATTAACGTTGAGTCACTTTCGTAACCAGATTCTTTTAATGCGCTGAAAAAAAAGGAAGAAACATTTTTTTTCTTTTTGCAAATTTCTTTTTAACTTTAAAAAAATTTAATTTTTACTTACTGGGACATGTACGGTCTTGACGATTGGCAATTTCGTTGATCGAATGGCTGAAAAATGAAATAGAATATTAAGCTTGTGGGAGTAAAAGAATTTTTTATATATAGAGATTTTTTTTTAAAGAACTATTTTTACAAATAAGACATGCTTACAAGGGGCGTTTATTATGCACTTGTGTAAACGAAAATGGCTAAATATTCTTTATTTTCATATAATATATAATTATTTTAAACACTTTTTCCTTATTCGAAAAGCGAATTCGAAAATTTTAGCGTATTAATATAGAAGAGGATTCATTTAGGATTCGAAAAGCGATTGACGTGTTATGTGAACAGCATGCTGTGCACTGAAGAAGATAAGCTGAGAATTTGATTAATGTAGCGAGCAAATTTATTGTGGAATTTGGCCAAAATGGTTTTTGAAATATTCAATATTGAAATAGGAAATTAATAATGAGCACTAATAAAGATTTAAAAAAAAAATTTTTTTTTACTGTAATTATAATAAAATTAATTAGGATAATCTATAAAACAAAGTGTATATTTTTATTTTTACATATAATTCAATTAATACAACAGCTTAAAAAACATCTCTAAATGTAATAACACTTTGCTTTAGAATTAATAGAGTAAAATATTAATGATAAAAAAAATATTACTCCTACTCTATAAAAAAAATGTGTATTGTAAAGAATTAAATGTTTTCATTTTCGCTAATTGTTACATGTAAAAAAAATTTTGCTACAGTGATTAACACAAAATGTGTCATTTAATACGTTGAAAAAATATTTTAAACTATTCAATTAGTTGGATTTTGTACCATTTTATTAATCATTGCGAATGTGAAATCAAATTTCGCGCCTATCGACAGCAGAGGCTAAAGCGCATGCGCGCAAGTGATTCAGGTTAGGTTAGGAGAAAGACACGTGACGTAACCACGAAGCGATTTTAGACTTCTGATAGAGTAGAAGTTTATATCGTAGAGGAGGAACTAAAAATTATTTGAATCGATTATGATTCTTCGAAACAAAAAAAGTATTTTATAAAAGTGTTTGGAAAAAAGTGTCTTAAAGTTGTAATTCCATTTGGGAATTTTTTTTTAGCGCCACTAATCGTCCAATTTAATAGATAAAACAAAATCCAAAAAATTGAAAATAGCAAAATACAATTTTTAATTAAATGTAAAATTATTTTGTAAGTTGTTGTTGGAAACAAATATTTGTGTAGATGATGAAAAAGTAACAACAACGAGACCGTGCAATCTACAATTTGGAGGTGCCAGGTTCTAACCCGTAAAGGTGACATCAGAGAAGTTGAAGAAGGTGGTGATGGTGTAAATAGCGTGTTATGATTGGTGCTGGAAGAAGAAGTACAAGGTGAAGTGCGTTGGTGATGATGATGATGATGATGGCGAGGACTCGTCAATTTCAGTGACCGATCCTCGACCCTTGATAAACTTCCGTTTTGCGATACCGATCTTGGGGTAAAACGATCCGGAAGTACAAAGCTCTTAGACTTTGACTCCATTATGCCCACGTGCTTTGACTCTGGTTGATCCAATGGTCGTATTATACGATCAGAACAGTCATCGACACTATTTACAATATTTCTTTTACATTTATCAACATCATTAGTCTTTAATGCCTTTAATGTCTCGTTTCGTGTGTTAAATTTGTTACCAATTTCAAGTCCCAAACTACCAAGTGAGCCAAACATTTTTTGATCCGAAAATATTGTCTTAGTCTGAATACGAGCAATATTTGACTTGATTTTATCAAATTTTGGATGTGGATCAAGATTATCAAAATCATTAAAACGAGGACGAAATCCATTTTCGCGTTTTAATTCACGAGCACGAAATCCGTGACCGATTTCAGTTGTTTTTGTGCACGAGTTGATATTTGGTAGTCTTACATTATAATTGTCCGCCGAACGATAAGACAGACTCAATGATCGTGTTGCAGTTTTCTCCAATTGTTGTTGACCATTTGGAAGTCCATTCTCATCCAACCACTGTTCTCCAGCATCATATATCGTTGTAATCATCAGGAAGTAGTGCAGACACAAGACACAAATAACCAAGACACACATCGATCAACATTGGATCAAAAATTCAATATTTTGATTACATTTACTACTTATATTGAACAATATTGTATGGGAAATTAAAAAAAAAAAACACGCTGCTGAATAAGAAAAAAAAATAATAGGAGGTTACAACAATTTTTTATTTACCACAGACGATGAAGAAAAGTATTCAGAAAATTGTGATGGTGCTCATTATTTAGACAATAGCGAAGATTTTTATAAGCCAATTAGTAGGAGAAATTAGTAGAATATTGATTTTCAATAATTGAAAGTAAAAGTTTTGTGAATGAACGACCTTTAACCATGAAGTTGAGAACCCTGTGCAAGGAGAGGGGGAATGCTGCGCGCGCAGTGTTCTCAACTTTTTGTCCACAGAAATGCATTCAATTATTGACAATTGAAAATGTTAATTGTTAAACCCCCAATTGTCTCAACACCTGTTTTATAGGCATTTCTAAATAAATAATTTTAAAATAAAAAGTTACAAAGAATAAATATTTTTGGTGCATCACAAAGTTAAAAAGTTAGAAAAAAAGTGTACTGAGAAGAGGTGTCTTATCTAATTTTTTTTTTTTTTTAATTATTCATAAAAAATGGCCTACCCCGTCAAATATGTCCATGACCTCGTCCCACCACTAGAAAAAATAGAATTAAACACTGCATTATACTAGGCGGTTAAACTGAGGACTTTTGTATACGTGTACATCAAAAATTAAGAAATTAGATGGTTATTAAATTGACTACAAACGCCACCTTTTTAAATATGAAAATATAATTATTTTAAAAAATTTTTAATAAAACATTTAAAAAAGTGACGTACTTGTGATAGAATAGAAAAAAAATCTACAAGCATTTCTACGAAAGCTTAATTAAATAAATATAAAAAAATAATAATAACAGGTGAGACATTTCTTATATGAAGCTTTTGATATATATATATATATATAAAATACATCGAATTACGTGAGCGATGGAGATTTATAAAAATATAATTTGTGGAAAAATTTAAAAATTCTTTTCTTTATGAAAGCAAAAAAAAAAATTATTTCTCAACATTCAATTTTTTTCTACTGTTAAGTCGACTGTAAAAATTGAAATTAAAATTTTTTATATTTATTTAATCAAAAATATTTTTTTTGTTATTATTATTATTCATTTTTTCCATTTTTACAGTCGAAGGAAATATATAAAAAAAAAATAATAATTCGCCACATAAACTGAAGGGGCCCAACAGTGAATTTTTTTTTTATTAGATATATATATATTTGAAGAGGTGTCATTGCATTGTTACCTTCCTTTTTGTCCAAGTAAATATCGTTGGCTAAAAGCAAAGCCATTTCAAACGATCATGTTCGATTCTGATATCATTCTCGTATGTGGCTTTTATACCATTAGGGATTCAAAGTTTGAACATTACGAGCATTATTACAAATGCGAGCGATGCGTTAATTAGCGCCTTATTCGCGTTACGTTCATAATTGTGCAAATTTTCAGGAAATATATATAGATATACGAAGCATAGAGTCTCTAATCCGATTAGTAATATTAGCAAATTCTAGTGAATATTTTCGATGAATTCTTCGATATAGGAAATATATTCTTGCTACAATTTTTCTTAATTATTTCCAGTTCAGAGAATTTAGATTGATTTTTTTCTTCATTTTAAGATTTTATCAATTTTTTTTTTTTTTTTTTGACAATTACTACTTATTATTATTACACTGGAACCTCAATTATTGGACTCTGTGAAGTTCTAATGATAAAATGAGAGGGTCAGTCTACGTCTTACTACTGACTGTCTACATAATAGAGGTTTCAGTGTAATTCAATTACTACTTATTATTATTATTACACTAGAACCCCGATTATTGGACTCTGTGAAGTTCTAATGATAAAATGAGAGGGTCAGTCTATGTCTTACTAGTGACTGTCTACATAACAGAGGTTCCAGTGTAATTCAATTACTACTTATTATTATTACACTGGAACCTCAATTATTGGACTCTGTGAAGTTCTTATGATAAAATGAGAGGGTCAGACTATGTCTTACTACTGACTGTCTACATAATAGAGGTTCCAGTGTATTTTAAGAATTTTCAATTAATTTTCATTTAGATTTATAGATTTAGGGTTTATTTTTTTTTTGTTATTAGTTTTTTGTTTCTGACAAAAATTACCTCTTTAGTTTCCTTTTCTGCAATTGATGATTTTCCAGGTACGTAATCCTCAATGCGACCAGGCTGATTTTTATAAATGTCTGTTTCGCACTTTAGAGCTGCGCTCCTAGTTAAATAAACCACATTTCAAATACATTTATTTCTTTAGTTAAAATTTTTAATTAAAAAAGAATCTTAAATTTGAAAAAAAAAATATTTTTATTAACGAAAATTTGTTCAGTTTTAAATATTTTTCTTTTCTTTTTTAAGGATATAATAAATTTATATTTTGACTAACTTTTTTGGCATTGTTGAGGTGGTGAATTCATTTTCCTTATTGCGCACTCGTCGACGATTATCATATGTGGAAGATCTTTCGGAATAGCCACGTGGTTCAGGTTCACTCAAATAACCACTTGAGCTACCACCGTATCTTGTACCTGGAAAAAAAAAATATTTTTAATTACATTTTTTTTTTTAATGAAAAATTTTTTTTAAACAAGAAAATATTACACAATTTTTCGATAAATTCATTTTCATACTAAAAGGTATTTTTTTTTTTTAACTTTAATAGAAAATTATTATATTTATTAATTATTAATTAATAGTACCGTGAGTAAATAATTTATTAGAAAATTTGAAAAAAATATTTCAAATAAAAAAATAATATTGCATTAAACTTTAAAAATTTTAATAATAAATTCAAACAAATTAATGATTTTTTATGATAAAATGTTAGCAAGTTTTTTTTAAACATTAAATTTGAATTGGTTATCCAAAAACCGTTTGTGGAAATTTTTTTAAAAATATTTATTATTAGTGTTTAGCAAATGCAAAAATTAAAATCACACAACAAACACAATTATTATTTAGAACATCATTTATTTGTTATTTGCACACACAATTTATTTGTTATACAAAATAATTATACATATATACGTCTAAAAAAAAAAGAACAGAAAATTCAAACCAAAATTCATTCAGAAAAATATTTTTCTTTAAATTAAATTATTTTTCCCAAAAGATTAGTGAATTAATTTTATTCACATATTTTTAAAAAAATAAATAATTTTTAATAATAAATTTCTGAAATTTTATTATTTTTTTTTTCAAAAGAAAAAATTGGAATTTTTTTTTTTTTGTTTTAAGTTAAAGAAAACATTTTTTTGAATGTAGGCAATATGAATTGATAGAGCAGAATTTTTTTTTTTTTAACGTGAACAGCAGCGATTTATTAAACAGCTTAGAGGCTACAATCGTGTGTAATCACGAATTAGGCGAATCAATAAATATATATATTAATGAATAAATAAATAATCAAGTCGAAAGAGGCAATTATTAGATATGCCCGTTACAAAATGAGAGTTGAGAGCTCAGCAATAATTTAGCCGGTTAAGTACATTAATGAGCCGCGTATAGTATATATATATTTTTTTTAATGAATTTTATTAAGCTGCACTGGCTTGAAGAAGATATTCACCTCGTCGTGGTTTGTAGCGAATCGTTACGTAGTCGTCTGAAAGTGAAAATTTTTCATTCTTTTTTACGGATTATTTAACTTAATTATTATTTTAATATAATTCGATTTTTTACATTTAATTATTTTCATTTTTTTTTATATATAAATTGTCTGTAAAATTTAATAAATTTCAAAAATGAATTAAAAAATTTTAAAAAATAATTTTTTTAAAATTAACATTCTTAAAGAAGAATTTAATAAAAAAAAAATATATATTCCCGGCTTATAAAGAATGACTGACCATCTTTCTCGGCACGATGCAAGGAATCGTACATTCTTTTGTACCATTTTGCTTGATTGTCTTCTTTAACTTCCTGAAAGAAAAATTAATTTATAAAAAAAAATATTTTAATTTTCAAATTAATTAATAAATAACAATAATCTTGATTTAAGGGATTCAGTTGTGACTACTAGCGCTACGGCGAAAAGCAAAACTATTTGGACTTATGATCCGGTTTCAATTTGTTATAAATTCGAATTGTAATTATTTAAAAAAATTTTAATAATATTAAAATTATTTGAAGTTTATTTAAAATCTAATTTTTGATAAAATTCTAATGGTTAATAATTAAAAGAAAAAATATATATCTTACGGATCTCAAAACAAGAGGAACTCCTTCTCTTGTAGTTGGACCAATACCGTCGAATTTTCGAGGACTCGAATCGGCCATCTTCTTTCTTGTATTAACATTCATTTCCGGTTCGCTGTCGTACTCTTTCTTTAATGTATAAACTGTGCAAATGCTGATAAGTTGCGACAATGTCTTTGCAATTTTTGTAAAGCAAAAAAAAAAAAAAAAAATAACACTCGCGAATTTCGATGATTTTGCTCCGTTAGTGCAAGAGCCGATTTTTTTTTTATATTTTAAATATAACGATGGTAGGTTTAAATATGAGTTAAATTTGTCGAGCAAAAAAAAAAAAAGTTATATAATAATGCTTTAATTACATTAAAAATAGAAATTAATTTTAAAAAAAATTAATTTTAAATTTTGTAATTATTAATACTTACTGATTTCACTGGGACTAATTAGTGGCTCTTCCTCGTTCTTGATTCGTGGTAATGTCTGGCACTCGTCTAGATACGCAGCTCCTTTTGGCAACTGTCCCTCTACAAGTTATATAAATTATTAATGTAAAATTTAACCAAAATTACTGAAAATTTGCATAGTAATTTTACTGCAAAATTTATATGGTAAACTTGCTGAAAACTTTAACATTAAATTTACTGTAAACTGTCTGGATAAAGTTGCAGTAAACTTTTATTATGAATTTGCTGAAAATGTCAAAGCAAACTTGATGAAATGAATTAGTAGAAATTTCCCAAAAAAGTTTAATAAAAAAATTGTTAAAAATTTGTAATGTAACATTACAAATTATTAATCATGTAAATTTGACGGAATTTGCAAATAAAAATTTTAAAGAAATATTAAATTATAAATTTTACAAACTTTTTTGTCAGAATCAATTTTTAAATTTATCAAAAAATGATAAATAATAATATACAATAATAATATTGGATTGAAATAATCATAACAAAACGATTATTACAATTATTTGGTAATTAAAAGTAATGGAATAGAGGAAAAAGATTATAAATTTTTCATTTTAAATTCAGCAAAGGATTTTAATTATTCTGTAAATTATTGATTAGTTGATTTTCTGTTTATTTTGTTTTCTATTAATTAAAATTTATTAAAATGGTTAACTGATTTGAAAAAAATTATTTTTTTATTCACATTTTTCACATCATCTAAAATGTTAAAAGAGGGGTTTTTTTTTAAATTTTTCCCAAAGAAAATTTTACGTTAAAGCTCGACAGTGAGAGATTTAAGCTATTTTAAAATTTAAATACAAACCTCTGGCTTTCTGTAGAAGCGTGATTGTAGGATTTTGCGCCCGAGGTAAACGAGGTGCACCGGCAAGTGTGTTCAACCCTTGAGATGGAGCTGAGTGAGAGTTGACGATACGAGATGTGATATTTTGTGAAAGAGCGTTTGATGCTTCTTTTCTTTGTGCCTCACTTTCCCAAGGTGGAGGCGTTTCTTCCTGTCATATTCATAATATTATTTATATATATATATATAACAAGTATATTTCCTTATAACAAAATACGTAAATTTTAAGAAATAACTTTCTATTTTTTTTACTTATTTTGCTTATAAATATTTATGTTTCTAAAAGGAAAATATTTACCAAAATATATATATTGTCATATAAATTTATTTTCGTATTTATATTAAAAATTATATCATTTTTAATTATAAAAAAATTAATTTTAATGATTTTTAATTGTAAAAAAAAGATAATTATAATAAATTTTCTATTCAAATTTTATTTCTACCTGTTTTATGGATTGATTTTTTCTCCCCAAAACAGGACTTTCGAATGGAACTGAACGGAATTCCTTTCGTTCAGGAACAGGACTTGGTCCAGCACTTGATGGTGTCCAAACAACTGATATTGATGAGTCCTTTTCGTCTTTATTTCGATCTGGACTTGGTTGTTTTGGCGGCGGTGGAGGTTCACTTCCCGGCGACCAAACACCTTTTAATTAAATTACAGAACATTATTATTATTATTATTTTTTTTTTTTTGTAAAATTAACAACAGTTTATACAACAGGATGAATTTTTCTTTATATAAAAAATATTATATATTGCTATATATATTAATATTTTTTATACAATCATCGATAAGTGATGCAGTTAATGCGAGCACTACTAAAAAGTAAAATCTGTTTTTAAATCATGATAATTTAGTTGGAAAATAATTAAAAATAAACATTAGAAAGTTTAGTTAATTTCGCTTTGACGTCAGTCCGTCAGTCCGTCCGTCCGTCCATCGTACACTCGTACGGTTTCCATGAAAACAGTTACCATAGCAACCGTTTCCATAGTAACCGTAACCATAGCAACTGTAACCATAGCAACCGTGACCATAGCAACCATTTCCATAGTAACCGTAACCATAGCAACCGTGACCACAACAACCGTGACCATTGCAACCGTTTCCATAGTAACCATTTCCATAGCAACCGTTTCCATAGTAACCGTAACCATAGCAACCATTTCCATAGCAACCGTGACCATAGCAACCGTTTCCATAGTAACCGTAACCATAGCAACCGTGACCATAGCAACCGTTTCCATAGTAACCATTTCCATAGCAACCGTTTCCATAGCAACCATTTCCATAGCAACCGTGACCATAGCAACCGTTTCCATAGTAACCGTAACCATAGCAACTGTAACCATAGCAACCGTGACCATAGCAACCGTTTCCATAGTAACCGTAACCATAGCAACCATTTCCATAGCAACCATTTCCATAGCAACCGTTTCCATAGTAACCGTAACCATAGCAACTGTAACCATAGCAACCGTGACCACAACAACCGTGACCATAGCAACCGTTTCCATAGTAACCGTAACCATAGCAACCGTGACCATAGCAACCGTTTCCATAGTAACCATTTCCATAGCAACCATTTCCATAGCAACCGTGACCATAGCAACCGTTTCCATAGTAACCGTAACCATAGCAACTGTAACCATAGCAACCGTGACCATAGCAACCGTTTCCATAGTAACCGTAACCATAGCAACCATTTCCATAGCAACCATTTCCATAGCAACCGTTTCCATAGTAACCGTAACCATAGCAACTGTAACCATAGCAACCGTGACCACAACAACCGTGACCATAGCAACCGTTTCCATAGTAACCGTAACCATAGCAACCATTTCCATAGCAACCGTGACCATAACAACCGTGACCATAGCAACCGTTTCCATACCAAGCGTTTCCATAGTAACCGTAACCATAGCAACTGTAACCATAGCAACCATTTCCATAGCAACCGTTTCCATAGTAACCGTAACCATAGCAACTGTAACCATAGCAACCGTGACCATAGCAACCATTTCCATAGCAACCGTGACCACAACAACCGTGACCATAGCAACCGTTTCCATGACAATCGTTTCCATAGCAACCGTTTTCATGGCAACCGTTGCTAAGGATAATTAAATTTCTATTAGATGCAAAATTTTATAAACTTTCTAATGGTTTATATTTTAAATTTCAATTTTCTAATTTGACTAAATTATTTCACTTTAAAGACAGTTTTGGGTTTTTTTTTTCAACAATACTCGCACTAGCTGTACAGACAATATAGATGATATTGTTGATTGTGAAATTGTTTATTTTTATCTTACAAAAAATTGTGATGCAACATGCAATAAAAACAAAAAAACATTGTTTAAACATTTAATTAAGTAACTGTAACAAAATATAAAAAAAAATCGACATAAATTAGTATATTACGAAATTTTTGGACACTTGGCAAGGGTGTTGAAACAACACGAAATAGTTCCTTTTAACGATGGCAATATAGTAATATAATTAGGGTCTTTGCACTGTTATGATAAAAGCAGACACAAGGAAGACGTGAATTTATAAAGCGAGGGCCAAAACATCCATTTCAAATGAGAGGGCGTTGCTAATCTTGGATTATGCGAAGGCGTATATTACATAAAGAACTCTTCTTCTTCTTCTACTTCTTCTTCATTCCCTCGACCATTTCAAATCCACCCGATTTGTCATATCTATATAAATTTCACGATATGTTGACACACTGATCTCACTTCCGAGATCCTTTAAAAGTTTAGCAGTAATTATAATTTATTTTTTGTACAAAAAAAAATAATTCGAATTTTGTATTTTACTACTAAATTTTTGTTTCAATAGGAGTTTTAAAAATAGATCAATTCGGAAATTAATGTCAAAAATGTAATATCGAAATCAAATCAACTTTTTTATTATATTTTTGTTTCTTTAAAAAAAAAAAAAAAAAAATTTAGACACGAGAAAACAAATTTCAACCTTAGAATGTCACAATTCAAATAGAAATGAGAAAAGTTATTAATTGCTTTTTTTAAGGGGGCGAGAGTATTTGAAAAAATTTAAAAATGTTTCTTCAAATGATTATAACGCATTAAAAGTCGACCATAAAGAAACGAGGACGAGCTAAATAAATAAACTGAACTTCATTTAAGATAATAAATTTTTGAATAAAACCTTCACATTTTATTAGAACTAAATTAATTGTCTAAAAACTTTTGATACAATTTTATGTACAAATATCTCAATTTTTTGATGTAAATATTTTTTTTTTTTTACAATGTTTTTTTTTTGATGAAATATGATGTCGAGAGTGAAAAAAGAAGTTTTGTACATAAAATGCAATTTTTTTTTTTTTACTACAAAAACGTAAAATAAGTAAATATATATATATACAGTTTCGCGTAAATTATCTTGTCTTTTGAGATTAGTTTGTAGTCGGATTTATAGTATCCGCTACACGTGTCCCTAGCGACAACAGGAAATCAAGAGTGTCCCGTTTCAAGATACGTGTAAATTTAGAATATTTTGCATATAATTGCAATTCGTTTAGTCTCAAAATGACCTTAGACAATAGGAGTTTTACTATATAAATAATTTAGAGAATCGTGAAAAAAAAACTAATTAGATTCTTATAAAATATTTAACAGTATTTTTTTTAGCAGTTTAAAAAAAAAGTTTAAAAAAAAATAATTAATCAATTTCTAATGTTGCAGCAAAAAAAAAAAATAAATCCAATTCAATGTTTGAACGATAAAATTAGTTCACAGAAAGCTCAATCTTCCTGACAGTCATGCTGAGCACTTTTTGATTTAAATTTTTGATTAGTATTACACACTTTCTCAAAGATATATATATATATATATTTTAATGAGAGAAATAATTCAATTAACAGGAATGATTTTTTTGTCCAGACATTATTTTCAGATACACTATCTGAATGTATTTAAATCTATAATTTTTTAATTACTTTCCGTCTACTTCTGTGACAACTATAAAAATTTTCCCTTTAATCCAATAATTTTTTTGAAATAAAATTTTTAATATTTAAATTATTTTTAATGTTTGTATTAATTTTCCAAAGAAATTAGAAATTAAAAAAAAATTGTTTTATATTTAATTTAATTGTTTGAAAAAAAAGTAGCAAAATATTTCTCTCATTCTGACGATATTTTTCATTCGACGTGAACTGATTTTTTTTTTTTTCGTAAAAGCGACACAAACAAGAAAAAAAAAGAAGCAATGAATCTTCACACACGATTTACCTGGCTTCGCAGATGAAGCTTTGAACGTCGGTGCAAACATGACACTTTCTGAAAAAGCATCAAACAAAAACAAAAAAACCTTTTAATTCTCATAAGTAAAAAAAGAATCCTATAAAAATTTTTTATTTTTTCCTCTAACAAAAAATATTGTCTTAAATTGAATCTCAATTATAATGAGAGAAAAAAAAAATTTTTTATCCCGTAAATATAATAAATTTATTGAATAATAATTATTTTAAATTATACCAAAAAAAAGGAATTTTTTGTTATTAAAATTTTAATAAAAAAAAAAATTGTCAGTTACTCGTGAAAAAGTTTTGTGAATTTTTTTTCTGGTGAATTAGATCTTCTTAGAGCGTTGAAATGAGTATCGTGATGAACGAAGAAGTTTATGGACTTTTAACGACAGCAACTGGAAACAAGTCTCAAAGAATTTCTACATTGAAGGAGACAGTCTTTGCGGTTCATTAATATAGAAGCACGAGTGATGAGAGTCTAGAGACTCTTGGGGTGACAAGGAAAATAATAAGACGAGAGCGAAAAAATAAGAAAGACAAGTAGACGAAGGTTAGAAGACAAACACTCCGTCGTCTACAATAAATTATTTTGATAACGTTTTTCATTTTTTTTTCGCTTTTTTTTTAAAAACAAATGTATGTAGTGATTATTATGTCTTTCTTCATTCGTTCAAAGAAAAGATTTTTTAACTTAAATCATCATTATTTGAAAAATGAATGAAACCATTATATTTTCCAAAGACATAAAATAATTAATCACCAATTAGGAATTAATAGTAAATAGAATTTAGGAAATAAAAAATATTTCGCAATCAGATACGGAAAATGTGAAGGTGTTCACGAAAATAGCAAATGCGATACTTCCTGCTGTGAATTCAACAGTCGTTTCGTGGTTTACGAAACGGTAATATGAACCGCTTACGTAATAGAAAAACAATTCTAATCAATTTCCTCAGCTTTTGACAAAACGTGCCCTTTTTTTTAATTTGGAAAATTTTTAATTTAAATTCAATTTTTTTTTAAATTCTTCTTAAATTTAGAAAAAATCAACAAAAGATATTTAAAAAAAATAAATAAAAACAAGTGTCACTTCTTCGTCAACAAAAGATTTTCTTTGCGCAACCTGTTGGACGAAGGAGTTTTCAATCTCATTGAGAGATAATCAGAAAATAATCCCTGGAAATCACACTCACTTTTTTCCACCATAACTTTCACTCTATTTTATATGTTATTGTTTCTTTTTTATAAATTTGATAATTTTTTAGTTTTCAAATTTTCTTTTCTTTTTTGTTTGCTATCAAAAAAAAAAACTTAAAATTAGAACATCAAAACAGTTTCGAGCAATATATACGCAACGAACGACGGTGTTGAACTGAGGCGTCGCGACGCCAAAAAGCAGCAAGACGCCGTCTCCGTTTGCGTTTACGTCGACGTAAAGGGAGAGAAGACCAGGGCAACGTCAACTTTATTCTATGCCGGCAGGAATAGTACGCGCGCGACACAAACACAACTCATAAATGGACTATGTCATCTTCTGTTTATTTCAAAATGAGAGGGATTCAAAGAAGATTTATTTTCTCACTTTCTCTCAAATAAAACAAATAAGAAATAATAACCTTTTTGACAAATTAACGAAATTTTATGATTACTATATTCATAAAAAAAAAAATATATATTTTTGTTTGAGAAAATACATTCTAGATAAAAAATTATAGAGACGTGAAAACTATTTTTTGTCTAAAAATTTTGTGTTTTTGAATAACAACACTATTAAAATTAATTGCAATATTGTTTGAAATAATTTTTATCTTATTTTCTTGTGAAAATACATAATTGTAGCAAATTTTAGCTTCTTAGGTTATAAACTGTAGACGTGAAATTAATTTTAGTGAAAAATTTTGAGTTTTTTATTAAAAATATTATTCAAATTAATTCCAAAATTGTTTGTTATATTTTGCAACTTATTTATTGGAGAAAATACAATACTGTACCAAATTTTAACTATTAAAGTCAAAAAATGTGGACGCAAAACTGATTTTTCTCAAATATTTTGTGTTTTTGACTAAAAAGACTATTGAAATCTATTTCAATATTGTTTGAAATATTTTTTATTTTATTTTCTGATTAAAATACATCACCATACTAAATTTCAACTTTTTAAGTCAAAAAATGTGAACGCAAAACTGATTTTTGTCAAAAATTTTCTGTTTTTGACTAAAAACACTATTGAAATCAATTTCAATATTGTTTGAAATATTTTTTATCATATTTTCTGATCAAAATACATCACTATATTAATTTTTAACATCCTAGGTTTAGAACTTTAAAAGTAAAACTAATTTTAGTAAAAAATTTGCCGATATTGATCAAAAATACAATTGAATTCGATTCCAATTTGGTATGAAATATTTTAAAATTTTTTTACTGGTAAAAATACATTACTGTACCAAATTTTAGCGTTCTAGGACAGAAATTGTGAATGTAAAACTAATTTTAGTAAAAAATTTTTACATTTTTGACTAAAAAGACTATTGAAATCTATTTTAATATTGTTTGAAATATTTTTTATTTTATTTTCTAATTAAAATACATCACCATACTAAATTTTAACTTCTTAAGTCAAAAAATATGAACGCAAAACTGATTTTTCTCAAAAATTTTCTGTTTTTGACTAAAAACACTATTGATATCAATTCCAATATTGTTCGAAATATTTTTTATCCTATTTTCTGTTGAAAATACATAACTATACCAAATTTTAGCTTCCTAGTTCAAAAATTATAGACGCAAAACCACGTGTTGTTGAAAAACAGATATCAATTTAATTTTTTTTTTACTTTTTCATCATTAATTTTCAAAAGAAACAAGTTCTAGATAAACTAATATGGATTAAAGTAATTTTTAAATTCTTTTTACAGAAAAACACTTGGTGAGACTCTTGTATATTTGCAAAAAAATTACTTTGGAAGCGGATAAAAAGAAATAATGGTAAAAAAATCAGCGTGAGAAGTTACAGGTGTTACTACAACTATAGAGAGAGAAACTGGACAGAGTTAGAGTATATATATATATATACAAAGTTGAGAAATCGAGTCCGTTATTGAATTCGCACTTCGCTGGACGAGTAGATTTTTAAACGAGATTTTTCTTCAAACCAAAATTGAATCAATTCACGAGAGAACTTAAATTGACTAAAAATGGAATATACTTTACTTTCGTTTTTCAAATTTATTTTTCAATGTATATATACATAATTTTTAAACTCTAAAAATTAATTTACCATCTTAAAAATAAAAAAATATTTACGAAAATAAATTCACTCTACACTTCTTCTTGTCTTTTTATTATAAAATTAAAAAATTCTATGCCTTAAAACTTATTATCTAATTCTTAAATAGAAAATTAACAAATAAAATATAATAATTTTCGCTCGTAACAAAACAATGTCGTTAAATCACGTCCGCATAGTAAATGAGAACCTTAACCTTGAAATAATTCATGTAACGACACACCTACGTTAACATCGAGGAAGACTCAATATGTACACTATATTTTACTATATATATAAATCGAAATATGATACTTTAAACTTCTTCCCGTGGCAATTTAAATAATCAGAGCATGAAGGACACAAAATTAAGAACGACTATTATTGTAAAAAAAAAAAAAAAATTTCGTCGGGGGAAATTTCTTTATTATATTTAGTCTTATTTAAAAATAAAACGAAGACTCTCATGATTGATGGGAGAAAGAAAGATCCCTAAAATATGATTTGATGAAATAAATGTTTTAGACAAATTATACAAAAACGAACTTTGTGTATTTTATACCAAAAGAAAATGGGGAAAAAAAATTTCTAAAAAATTTTATAATTTTATTCTATATAGTGAAAAATTAGAATTCGTACGAGTAAAAATTAAAAATAATTTAAATAATTTTTCTCATCTATATTCTCACAATTGTAAACAAGTTTGACGTGCGCAAGGGATTCGTGTTAACATTAAGTTATGCATTGTAAAACATTCTGTAGTGCCTGTGCATGAGAGATAATATGCTTCCGAGTCGTAGAACGTTATCAGAGGCAGAGGTTACGTGGCGCCAGTTTACAACCGTTGTTTATAGTCCAAGTAACGTTAGGGTTACAACGCGCCATGTTCTCCATTGAACATACATACACATATATCTGGTCACCTCTTAAATACCCGATAATCTACTTCAATTGTTTTAACATCCCTTTATATTATCCAAAAACTATCTAAAAATCTAACTTTCAATTATTAAACATTTCTAAAAATAATTTACAGATTTATTTTTACCGAAAATTCTCCCTTTTTTAAAAAAAAAAAAACTCATTTGAAGTGTAAAATCCTTTCAAATAAAGAGGATTACGTTCCACATTAAAAATATTCAGAGATGAAAGTCCATTAAATGAAAAAAGAGAAATACAATAATATATACCTCAGTTCAAAATGAATAACGTATACGCTACTCATTTTGAAGTGCAACAAAATTGTGCCTCGTAGGTGGCGCCACTTTCAATGTGACTCATTTTCAACTGCAATAAGGTTTTTTGAAATCAATTTTTTCCTAACTAATTTTAAAATTTTACTTTTTTTCATATTAAAATAGTACAATATTTGTACAGATATAGAATTAAAGAAAATAGTTATATAAATAATATATAGATTAACATTCACGATTGTCGTGCATAAAAATACAAACCTGTTAAACCTCTGGTAATTATCTTTCTATATATATATATATATTATCAAGCTCTAGTGAACACCAGGAAATGAAATCAAACTAATTTTAAAGTGTCCAATACGATATAGATAAATAGTGATTGAATGAAGCTAATTGTGTAAACTAAAACGCACCTTCACCAAGCAAAAATCCTTTTCCAATATTTAAAGCAGAATCAATCTCGCTCAGGAGATCGTTTGATTTATGTTTCCGTCCTCGACGAATGTCAATTCCTTTAACTAAAAAAAGCATGCCAAAGTGCAAATAAAAAAAAAAAATTACTTTTATTTAAATAAAAATTTTGAAAATTGCAAATTTTTTATATTTAAAAAAAATCATTCAAAAAGAATATAGAAATCAGGACTATATATATATATATTAGTAAAATATGAATCGATATCATAAATTTTAAATTCAGTCAATTTGTTGAACGATTACGACTTTAAACTTTTGCAATGGTCGGAAATAGCTGAAATAGATGGTTCCTGCAGTATAAACTGGGATTCGATGACGTTAAGCTAGTGTGGCCTATTTTTCCCCAAAGAGACCTAAATATAGTTTTTGTACTGTTCGTGAATCACACACAGAGCTATTCGACTTGGGTCGCGCACTTCGTGATTTTAGGCGCAAGCTCATAAACTATACGCGCGCTTGAAACTCACACTCTCGCTATGCATCGTATCGTCCAGTTTGAAATAATAATAATAATAATAACAAATCCCTGACTCATCAGGAAAATTTTCCACAAAAAAATAAAATGACTATTTTTTAAAATGTAATTCGCAAAAAAAAAAACAATCCTTTTAATTTTTCTCAGCATTTTAAAATTATTTTTCAAAAGAGGAAGAAAAAAAAATTAATATTCCTCATATTTTCATCTATTTTCAATTTCTCGGTAATTTCAACGATACCTTTCAACATTATGTGTATATTTAGTTTTTAATGACCACTATTATAACCCATTAACATTTCACTTAGGAGCTTAAATTGTCATTTCGAAATTCAAAATTCTAGACAGTACGCTTTATTTATTAAATATATTTAAAATTTTTAATTCTAAATTTTAAATTAATATAAAAAAAAAATATTTTTCAATTATATATATATATGGAAAATATATAATTCATCTCTACATATAGAATATGTAATATTTCCTTTATCCTAATTTCATGCAAATGTTCTACTCTAAATTCTTGAAACAACACTCTGTATGTGTTCAATATTTCTCCTTGAAGTTTAAATAAAAAAACGAAGTCAAAAATAGAGTTTATAAAAATTTTTTCCTTTTCGACCAATATTTCCATTATGTCGACTTATATTTTACATATTACAATTTAGAATAAATTTTAAACTAGTTCAAAAAAAATTCTGATTTTTGAAATCTTATTTCCATTAATATAATTTTTTGTCAAAATTGAAATAAAAATTGTTTTAATTTTATTAATTAAAAAAAAAGGGATGAAATTGAAAAAAAAGTGAGAGAAAAGAAAATGGTTGATGAGAAAACAATGTTTTTTCTATCTATTATAATATGTGTACGATTCTCCCTGTAATTCAAGAGCGGGACTAGTGGATCGAGGTGTGTTTGACGGACAAGTGACGTAACATGACATAATTTATTATTATGGTACGTCGCTCTCCATTTCTTTTACAAATGGAACATGTCCATAGAAAACAAGCCACGAGAGTCACGTTTCATTAAATTTTCTGAATGCTCCCTAATTATTTATATAAATGAATTTATATGTATCAAAGGCAAAAAAGACAGAGAGAAAAAAAAAACATCCACAATAAAAAAACCATACAAATTCTTTTTTATCATTTTAATTACATTAAATTAGATCACAACACGGAATTACAGATTATAAATTAATTTCTATCGCACTAAATCCATTTAACTTTAATTGCACTACAAAAAAAACGAGATTGATGAAATCAAATAATTGTTTGTCTTCTATTTTTTAGAAACTAACATCCTAAGACCCAAATTTGCATTTCAATTTTAAAAACCTGATAAAAATTGGCAATTTCTTAAAACTAATGAGAAAACATCGCCCATCAAAAACAAAAAGATTTTATTTATCTTTCCATTTTTCTCAAAATCTAAATTTTTTGTTAAAAAAAAATTATTCTCTTAAATATCATAAAAAAGTGGAAAAATGTTGCTTTGTTAGTAACACTGTTAGAAACAGTAATCCAAAAGTAAAAACGTCATCACTAAGCGTTCATCTCATTAATCAGCGTTTTTTTTTTTTTTTTTTTTAAAAAGGCCAGGTGAAAAATTGGACAGGAGGTTTTAATGCCAACAAATTGAAAACGACACATCAATCCTTTTACACGACTCACCGTCGTCTTCCTTTTCCTTCTCCTCAGAAATTTTGCTGGACAGCTGCAGGAACTCCTGTAAATGTTTTGGAAGACTTTTGGCGTCCTTGACCTCCCTTCCATCAACGAGACATTTGGCCTTCATTAAATCTTCCTCCCTTTCACTAAAATTATCACCATCACCACTACAAAATTCATCTGAATCACTATCATCAAGATTAATTCCAAATTTATTCATTCTATTCTTTGCTTTTGCTATAAATTCTTTTTCAACTAAACTCATATTGTTCCCCTCTTCATTCTTATCTATTGTCTCAATATCTTGATGGGAGCTTATCTTTATAACTTTATGATGTTTTCTCTCTTCTCTCTCAAGGACTTTATGTAAATATTCGTCATACATTTGTTTACGAAAAACCTCACCATTTGTTGGTACTGCAGATGCTATTGATTTTAATTGTTCTTTGTATTTTTGTATCTCAATATTTTCATTGCAAATTTCTTCTTCAATATTATTTGAAACAATTTGATGATTTTCATTATTTGATTTAGTATTAATTTGAATATTTTTCATTATAGTTTCATTAGTTTCCACTTGTTCAATAATTGTTTTATCAGTTGACATTGTATGCTCCACAATTATAGTTTCCTTATGATCTTCGTTTGACATTTTGCTTAATGATTCATTTACTACTGCCTTCGATTCATTTGAATGATTTGTGTGCCAAGATTCCTTGTCAGTTATACCATCACTTATTTTATTTTCTTCGTTATTGATAGTTTGATTTTGATTGATTTTAATGGTAGAATCATCAGGTAGATCGTTACCATCCTCAGGAATTTTGTCGTTTATATTGCTCTTATCCATGTCTGTTTGGTTTGTATTTTTTTCCACAACAACAAGGTTTGTAGTTTTCTGTACAAAGTTTCTATCATCTTTATCATTTTGATAATGTTCATTATTTTCACTATCAAAAATTTTATCACAACCATCATTATTAACTTTCTCAACATTTGTGTCCTCCTCCTCACTCAAAAGCACATTACAAAGTTCACTTTCCAATAATTCAATATATCTCAATTGTTTGTCAAAATATTCCTGAGGAAGAGAATATCTCTTACGACCCTGTAGCTGTTCCTTCATACTCGCTTGTAATTGTTTTAAATTTTCCATTATTTCCGTAGCGGAGATTATTTTTACATTTTCTAAATTTTGATATTTTCTACACTCTAAATGTCCTCTTGGTGGTGATTTATCAAAAATGCTAGTTGTATCTATACAAGATCTATCAACAGTAATTGGATTTTTAATTTTTTGAGACTCATCACAATTGTAATTTATTTTAGAATTATTAGTTCTTTTAGTATCATGTTTTAGATTCGATGATTTATCAATTATTGCACTATTCATTGATATTGGACTTTTGGGTAGTGGTGTTACACTACGAGATGATGTCTCAGGTGATTTTATTATTAGAGCACTATTAACGTAATGGCTAGTTTCGCATAATCGTTTACCAATATCATTTTCAATATTAGTATCATTTAATGTTATGTTTGATTGTTTATCAATTTTTTCATTATTTAAATTAATTTTCAATGATCCGCCCACTTTGTTTTGCGTACTGCAACTGATCGATGGCATCGTATTAAACATCTTATCAGAATTGTGTTGACTGGTTGTAGACGTTGTGTTTTCTATTAATAGTACACCAGACGCACATGTTGGCGTCCATTGAGAGATATGAGCAGCATCACGCCTCGCAAGGTTCAACCAATCACTCAATCGTGTAACCCTCAAACGATCTTGAGAATTTGATAACTTAGGTCGGGATACTGGATTTTCTTTAATAATATTTAATAATCTATTTGCACCTGAATCTTCATGAATTTTACAATTAATTGATGACTCTAATTTTCTTGGTGTTAGATCTATTTTGTAATTCATAGGTGTCAATTTTTGTGGTTGACAGTCCCAATAACTTCGTCTGTTAATAAATTTGGTATGAAGATCCAATAATTTGTCAGCATCTTTACGAATTTCTGATTCTTGTTGTGATGGTGAAAGACAAATTAACACATTTGGATTTTCACTCGTTGGAACTCCCATCCATGTCATTGGCTTTTGCATTTTTGTAATTTCAATTTTATTTTGCAAATTTAACTCCTCAAGATGTTCGTGAATGTTATTTAGATTTTTAAAAATATTAAACTTAGGAAGTGTAATTTCATTTATGATTTGCAAACCATAGGGCATTGATAAAATTTTTTTGATACATAAATTTTTGAGTAAATCTGGTCGATATGCATCATATTTTTCATTTATAGGCACAAAATACAAATCCTCAATTGGTGAATAAGGAATTGGTTGTGGTGATTCAGATTCAATAATTTCTGCCGATGTTTTTAAAAGTGTAAGCTTCCTCTTTGGTTGAGGTGATTTTTTTTCTTCCTTCTTTTCTTCTTCAGCTTCAATGTCATCAATATCAAGAGATGATCTTTTTGGATTATATTTTGCAGTACTTGGTGTGGCAGAACTACTTGTAGAATCTTGATCAGGACTCAAACTTCCGGAATGAATGTCTGGCACTTCTGTATTGCAAATTTCTTTGATCTGTTCCTCTTGAATTGTGACCTCGAGACTGCTATTAGAATTCTCAGTCAATTTATCATTGAACGTTACGGAACGTTCGAAAATTTTACTCGACGAATCAATGGCTCCTTCTATCTCGTGTAAAACTGACTTTTCGTTAAGATCCAGAGTTTGGCACTGATCCTCATGCAAAGAATAACTTTTAACGTCACAATCTTCACTGTCTTTCTTAATGGAAGAAGTATGTTCTGGCTCACTTGATTTTACATTGACGTTGTTAGGACAGGGCGTGGTCCATTTGGATAATTCGGAGAATTTTTCAAGCGTCGTCACATCGTGAGCTATTTCAAGGCTCGAATCACTGCCAAATTTACCATCGTTACATAAATCCATGACACTATCACTTTCGATAGAATCACTAAGACTTGGCGCCATTAAATCGTCAACAATTTCGCGAATGTTGGATGGAAGTTGTTTTAAATCAAAATTCAAAAGTACTTCCTGCACGTCTTGTCTTGATGTCTCATGATTTGATAAGACAGTTAATAGTGTTCTAACAAAATCCAATGTTTTTTGTTCGGAAAAATTTGTTGATTTATAAGCATCAAGAACACGTTCATGATGATCAATTAATGATTCTTGTTGTGATAAAAAATACAAATTTGATTTTTCCTTTGGTTTTGAAATATTATTTTCTTCCAAATAACATTGTTTAGCGTGAAAATTTTCTCTATTTGTTGAAGAATTAATTAAATCTAGATAACTAATAAGATCGGGATAGTGAAATTCATAAAAATCATATGATTCAGGAGAAAATTGATGGGAGAAATTTTGTTTTCTTTGAATTGGAGATGATGATTTGAATTTACAATGTCTAAATGAAGGAATTTCTGTTATATTAAAAGGATAATCAATTTCTGATGGTGTTGGTGGTCTTTCTGGTTCGGAGCCAAAACTTACGGTACGTTTTGGAGGTGTTGGAGGACGTTTTGATCCATACATATCATTAACAATGTTGTCTTGAATTAGGGATGTAAAAATTTGCACAGGTCGATGATATTTTGGATCGTTAATATTTTGCTGTCTCCATTGCCAATGAGGAAAATTATTTTCTTTCGATAAATTTAGAAAATATTTTTCTCTATGAAAATTATTGTCAATTGTTTCTTGTTTTGGAATTTGTTCCTCTGATTTAATGTTTTTATCACTTTCTTTAGAAATTGATGTTCCTTCTTCCATACCATCAGGTATGGAAGTTTCTGCAGCTTGTTTGTAATCATGTTCTTTAGAATCTTCTTCATCTGTTTTAAAAATTTTTGAATTCTCTTTAGAAATTACAGCAGGTATAGAATTGTTTGTATCTTCTTCATAGTTTTCTGCATCTTTAGCGATATCTGCTTCTTTTGGAATATTTTTATTGGAATTTATTAATTCTTCTGGAACAGCATCAATAGGATCTTCTTCTTTGACGTCTGCTAAATCTTCTAAAGCGTTTTCATTAGGATTTTCAGCACCTCTTGAAACATCATTTTTACAATTATCTAAATCTTCTAAACTATCAGAAGAAATTTGTAAACAATTTTTAGAAGCCTTGGCATCTTCGGAATAGATCTCTTCCTCCAATTTTCGCCTTTTTGTTTGATCATTTCGTCGGTACTTGCCAATTTCCTCATTAATAAAGTCTCGGATACTTTGTTCGTCATCAGATAATTTTTCCCCTTCTTCTTGAATAATAAAAAGTTTATTCATTTCCTGAGTTTGTGAAGGATAAGATTCCAAAGCAGGTCTTTTTTTAACCTTCTTTTGCGTTCCCACATCCCATTTGTCATCTTTGATTAAATTTTGCATAGAAGAAGAAGAAGAAGAAGGTAATTGCAGTCCCTCGAGGAAATTCCTCAATTTTTTCTCATCTTCCCTCGACATGTTGGCTTCAATTTCTTCTTCGTTTTCACGTTTCTCAAAACTGGACTCCTCGGATGTTGAGCGTTCAGAAAGAAGATCTCGCTCAACATCAGATTCAGCTTCAACAACAATGGCATGTCTACTATTATCAATTTCGATGTCACTGTCGCTTACCTCTTGGATTTCGAGGCTGTTCTTCTTGTCTGCCAAAATTGCAAGATCAAATTGTCGTTCGCCAAGGGTCTCGACCTTGTTCGTCACACTATTCGAAAGTGGTTTCATTTGTTCTAATGGCTCTGATACAGTCATCATTGTTGTTAAATCATCATTTTTTCCCAATTCCAATATTCCCACACCGGGTATATGATCTAATTTTGCTTCCATTGGTAAATTAGTGATTGTTGTTATTTCACATATTTTTGTTTCAGTATCAAGAATTTTCTTTTCAAGTTTAAATCTATTTCTTCTTGGTCTCCATCTTGTTATTGACATATTATCCTGACATGGAAGTCCATTGAGATTCTCAGTTGTTACTTTAATTGCATTTCCATTAATATTTGCCTCAGCTAAATCCAAATTATCAGTTGTTTCATTATTTTCATCGTTTGATTCTTCCGTTATGGATGAATGATCATTGTTGTCCTCTCTTGTTGAACATTCTTCCGGCGGTGACAGGGGTCGTTGAAATCGTTTCCGATTTCGATTTCGACGGTTCCTTCTGTTGCGCGAGCCGCAAGGCATTCTCAAATTATTATTATTATTATTAACTTCAGTATCGGTGAAATAATCCAAATTTTGATTTCCAATTATTATTATCGATGACTCTTGAAAAAGATGAATAAATTCTTAAATACATTTATTTACGAAACTATAATTCTTTTATTTTATTTTTTTTTGCTGTTATTTAATTTAAAAAAGACACTATTTTTAGAAAATCCCACACGAAAAAAAGGAATGAAATAAAAATGGAAGAAAAATATGTAAAATTCACTTTAATAAGAACGATTCTTTTTTTTTTTGAGAATTGTATTTATAAGAATGAAATTTACACAGCACGACTTTTGTATTTAATTTTCGTGCATTTCAAGAGCTTCTCTGACTCGATGGACGATGTTTATACTAATCTCAAAGAAACTGACTTAACTATTCTAATACTAATAGCTCCCTCGTGCTTTTCAATATTGCACCTCGAGATAGTCACAAAACAACTGTGTCGGTAAAGAAAAAAAAAAAATTTACATTTCCGAACGCTAAAATTTTACAAACTAGTATAAAAAATTTGCAATTATAATTATCAAAAATAATTAATCCGAGAAGAAAAAAAATGAAAATAGAAATATGATGAAATTAATACTAATAATTATATATAATTAATAATAATTAATGAAACTAATATTAATAATAATAATAATAATAATAATAATATAATAATAATAATCTAATCATGCAAGAAGCGTGTTCCAATTTAGCATTCCAGGAAATTGGGCTGTGACATATTAATTAAAATTCAACTACTCACTTTTTGGAGTATTACTTGGCTGATCAGGTGACGAAGATTTTAATCCTCCGTTTTGATTAACGTGATTTTTATCGATATTTGTGTCATCTAAAACAATAATAAAAAAAAAATTTATAATACCTCTTTCAATTTTAAATAAATTTCAATTATAACTATAAAAATCTATTACAGTATTTAATTAAAAAAAAGAACTATTTTATTTTTACGGAATTAATTAACGGATTTTTAATATTCTATCCGCAGTGGAAATAATATTATCATTAAAATGATATATTTTTATTTTAACAAGTATAATCACTGAATTATAAAAACCGGATATTGAAGGAATAAGTATAGTACTTTACAATTTTACATTTATTAATTTTTCTTTTTCACATGAAATAATTATTATTTTAAAAAAAGAAAATTAATAAAAATCAAAAATAGATAATATAAATTTTTTTTTGCATGAAGAATTAAATAAATTTATTTTAATTTTTAAAAAGAAAATTCCATATAAATAGAATTTAAAAATTTTATTTAAAACGAAAAATGAAATATATTTATAAATATATTCAACGGAAATACCATTTAATTTTGAATATCCTCAGATTTAACAATTAATCTCTATGTGTATTTTCACAATTATCGTCTGTTTAATCTGTTATCAATTTGAAAAAAATAAAAAATTTCACTTTCACAAAATTTATTGTAAAAATTTTAATGATTTGATAAAAAAAAAAGAAACTTGAGACTTATTTTGAAAATAAAAAACAACACGAGATAAAATTGAGAGTTCGAACACTTTTTGGCACACGAAGCCAAAAACAAGAGCCGGTTAGTGTCAACATGGCATGCATGCAGGATGCTTGAATCGTCAGTACTCACTGAATATGTGATCAAACTTAGACACCCAATGTACGATCGTACCCCACCCACATGAAAAATACAAGCACACAATTTATTCCCTGTCTACCTGCATGTGTTGTTGTTTTTTTTTATTACGACAATATGTGTAACATGAATGCTATTATGCATACAAGCTTTCATGTGTGAAAAAGTTCTTCTACATATGCATAGTCTATTAAAGTTTATTTTTATGTTTATCAATATATATTTCCCTGTATATGAACTCAATGAAAAACAATAAAAATTATTTAATCCTAAATTCTATTTAATTTTAATCTTAATCCAATGTTCTAATCCTTAATTCTAATCAGTGATCCTGAATATTAGTCCTAAATCTTAAACCAAAATTTTAACACTTAATCCTAAATTCTTTTTCTAAACCAAAAGTTTAATCCAATGTTGTAATCCTAAATCCAAATCATTAATCCTAAATAATAATCCTAATTCTTGAACCAAAATTTTAATACTGAATCCTAATGAAGAATCATAAATTTTTGTTCTTAATCTAAATCTTAATCTAATCCTAAATCCTAATCCAATGTTCTAATCCTTACTTCTAATCAGTAATCCTGAATATTAGTCCTAAATCTTAAACCAAAATTTGAACACTTAATCCTAAATTCTTTTTCTAAACCAAAAGTTTAATCCAATGTTGTAATCCTAAATCCAAATCATTAATCCTAAATAATAATTCTAATTCTTGAACCAAAATTTTAATACTAAATCCTAATGAAGAATCATAAATTTTTGTTCTTAACCTAAATCTTAATCTAATTTCCTAATCCTAAATCCTAATCCAATGTTCTAATCCTTACTTCTAATCAGTAATCCTGAATATTAGTCCTAAATCTTAAACCAAAATTTGAACACTTAATCCTAAATTCTTTTTCTAAACCAAAAGTTTAATCCAATGTTGTAATCCTAAATCCAAATCATTAATCCTAAATAATAATCCTAATTCTTGAACCAAAATTTTAATACTAAATCCTAATGAAGAATTATAAATTTTTGTTCTTATTCTAAATCTTAATCCAATTTCCTAATCCTAAATCCTAATCCAATGTTCTAATTCTTAATCCTAATCAGTAATCCTGAACTCTAGTATTAAATCTTAAATCAAATAATGAAAAATCCTAATTCTTAATTGTAATTCTAAATTCTATTGCATTTTTAATTAAATATGTATTTTCCTTTCCTTAATTTATGTACATTAACTTATGTATACATTTTAGTAACCTTGTACAATATATTTTTAAAATAAATGAAAATATTCATTCCCCTCTTATTTGGGATTCATGCATAGAACCACTTCCGAGGTGAACTTCCTTCCGAAAACACATATAAAATGACAGTATAACTTAATTCTGACTATATACCCTATCTGGCATCTATACAAATGTATTATAGCTACTTAAATATTTTTTTTTATTATGTCACGATTTGTAATCGCATGTATCACGTGTGTAACAAATAATAATGCTTCAATGTATAATAATAATAATAATAATAATAATAATAATATTAATAATAATAATAATAATAATAATAATAATAATAATGAATCGAAAACTTTCAAGTCGAAAAAATAATAAATTTTGTCATATCACATAAAATAGGTTTTCAAAGTGAGATTATTTTCAAGAATGTAGAAAGTACACTTTCAGGGTGAGTGTCTCTTTAATTAGGTTCTGCACACTCGAGACCATGCAAGGGGTGCAAGCCTGAAAAGATACAACTTTACTGATTGTGAGCACTATGGGAAGAAAGTGACGTATTTAAGAGGCTTTTAACTGACGATATAAACTTTCCGGGAAAAACTAATAAAAACTTGCGTAATATCTACAGCAACACATTGAAAGATTGAAAATAGGACTATAAATTTCGTTTATTGAGCTGAATTATATGACTAAAGCTAAATTTTACACAAATAAAATCTAAATTTTATATGAAAAAAAAAAAAAATAATAATAAAGATACAAAATATTTAATCCTGAACGTAAATCATAAATTCTATATCCTAAATTCTATATTTTAAACCGTAAATTCTATTATTATTATTAAATTAATTAGAAATTAAATTTCTAATTAGAATTGTAATCCTAATTCTAATCCTGAATCCTAATACTAATTCAGAAATTTTAATCCTCGATCATAAAACTAAATCCTAATTATAAATCGTCAATAAAAATTCTGTATTAATTATTCTTAATTCTTATTTTTAATTATAATCCTTTAACTTAAATCTTATTCGTGAATTTTTAATCCTAAATCTAAAGTTAAATCATAAATCCTGAATCCTAAATTCAAATTACTAAATTCTTTATTTTAAATCGTAAATTCTACTCTTAAATCCTAAAAATCATTCTAAAATCCATAATTCTAGTCTTAAAAACAAAATCCTTATTTCTAATTCTTAATCTTGAGCGTAACAACAAAATCCTTATTCAAAATTATTATTCTGAATTTTAATTCTAAACGCTAATTCCAAACACTAAAATAAATATCCTGAATTATAATTCTCAAATGTAAGTGTAAATTTCAGATCTTGAATTTTGGTTTTGAATTATAAATCGTAAATCCGTATTAAAATTCTAAATCATGAATTAAAATTCCAAATCCTGAATTCGGGTTCTGAATCATAAATCCTAATAATGTATTAAAATTTCAAATCTTGAATTCTGGTTCTAAATCACAAATCCTAATTCTAATACTGTATTAAAATTTCAAATCGTAAATTCTGTTACAGAATTATAAATCTTAATTCTAATACTGTATTAAAATTCCAAATCCTGAATTCGGGTTCTGAATCACAAATCCTAATTCTAATACTACATTAAAATTCCAAATCCTGAATTCTGGTTCTGAATCATAAATCCTAATTCCGTATTAAAATTGCAAATCCAGAATTCGGGTTCTGAATCATAAATCCTAATATTGTATTAAAATTCCAATCCATGAATTATAGTTCTGAATCATAAATCCTAATTGTAATACTAAATTAAAATTCCAAATCCTGAATTCTGGTTCTGAATCATAAATCCTAATTCCGTATTAAAATTCCAAATTTAAAATTTGGGTTCTGAATCATAAATCCTAATAATGTATTAAAATTCCAATTCATGAATTATAGTTCTGAATCATAAATCCTAATTGCATATTAAAATTCCAAATCCAGAATTCGGGTTCTGAATCATAAATTCTAATTCAAATCCAACTTCATGAAAATTCTAAATTTTTTTAATTCTAAATATGAAGGATATTTTCAATGAATTAGAGTCAAAGAAATGTAACGAATTAAAATTTATATATTTGTAGTGAAACATTTACATTTATAAACGGAGTTAAAATCGAGAAGGAATTAAAGGGGTTGGGAAGGGAGAGGTTACAATCGTTGAAATTCGGGATGGGCTTATGAAATGGAGGTCGTGTGAGGTGAAGGATATAAATGTAAAACATGAAGGATAGAAGATGAGACTTGCGGAAACATGGGCACGGCCCCCAACGGCCCATGACACCGCGCCCATGCAATACATTAACATGTGTCATGTACATGCTTATGTTGATGTTTCCAACACATTTGCAGGATTTGATGCCGGTCTAACCAACTGATTTGAAATCGATGCTATCTATACATATATACATCAACGTGACCCATTGCATATATATATATATATATATATATATATATATATATATATATATATACAAACGCACTAGTAAACGTTGCCGTTAATGTGACATTAATTCAACAAAACACGACAATGCCCGGTATCACTTGATGCTCTCGCGGACATATATATATATACATGAACACGATAAAATTGATAATTCTCGAAAATTTTCGAACAATATATATATGTGCATTAAAATTTTCATAAAAATAAATCACATTTATAAATGTGAATAGAAGGATGAGAGCTTTTAATGTATATCCAGGAATTCGTCGATTAAAAATATTGAATTTCCATAATTTTTATAGTCTGAAATAAATTTTTTTGGTCTGATATAATATGAAGACAATGATATCTCTCAGGACTTTCTATATACGAGAACGGGACAGCTCAACCGATAAAGGAATAATTTCCGGTCAAGCCGCTTGGCTTGTGGGGTAGAGGATTCTTATTTCCGGAGTAAAATTATTCCTTATAGAGGATGCTGGTTATGTAAAATTGACAAGTCTATAAACGGAAGTTCAATTTCACGTTAAGCGTTTACTTCCATCATCCTCAAAAAAAAAAAACGTGTGTGATTTTAAGATTATAAAAGAAACGTTAAAGTTAGAATATAAACATTAGAAACGTAAAACAAACTTTAAGGTTGTAGAATTCAAAGGTTGTAGGACAAACTTTAGAATTTTAGATTCACCTTCAGAACCGCCCTTATCCATTTTGGCGAAAATATAACTTTAACCTTTACGCCTAAACTGACCTTCAACATTAATTTAACATAACATTGCATTTTATGCTAATTTAATCTTTAACCTTTAATTCTCTAAAAAAGTAAAATAAAATCTATAATATATATACCATCAATTTTATTGACATCCGAAATCTCTCCAAATTCCTCCTCGAGATCGATTTTCTCTAGTAAATCATTATTATCGAGAGGAAAATTTGAATCCGTCACCTCGATGATTTCCAAAAGTACATTAAAATCATGTACTAATGACTCATCATAAATTGGCTCAATTTTCAAAATATTTTCCTGTTGATTTTTTAATTCCTCTTCTATAAACACTTTTGCATTATCACCATTTTTTACTATCGTCTCTATTAAACATTCACCATTAAATTCAAAATTTTCCACTAATTCTAAATCACATTTTTTATCATTCCTTTCAAAAATTTTTTTTTTCTCCCAATTCTCTTTGATATTATTCTCGTCTAATTCCTCATTATCATCATCTTTGAATCTAACAGTCTTTCTACTAGCAGGTGAACCATCTCTACTGTAATTTCCTTTATCCTTCTTTAAAATTGGTTCACGATTTAAAATATTAATCATTGTTTGTTCAATTTGCAAATGATCGTGAACATATTTATTCAATTTTGATGAATAATTTTCCTCTTCAATTTTCTTTTTTGTAAAATAGTAAATCATTTTTTTATGACAATTATCATTATCATCATCAGACGCAATTGCCACTGTATTCATTCGTCTAAAATCAAGTGTATTTAATTTATTTTCAAAATTCTGACGACTCTCGGGATTCTTGAAACAATCCGGTGGATCAATTAGGAATTTCAATGCCTCAAATTGTTCATTATATTCCTTTTCCAAATCAACATGCTTCACTTTATGTAAATTCTTGAAATTCTCCTCATCGTTGGAATTCAATGTTCTCTTATTTATTTGTAAATAATTTAATGAATTAATATTTCTATCATCATTATCATCATCATCATCAATAATTGTTCTTTGTTCCTTAATTAAATCACGTTTTTTCATTCTATGCCGTGTCTCGTGACGAATTTTTGGTCTTAATTTCTTTTGTCGTCGCCATGGTGAGCTGAGAACTTTTAAAATTGTTGGAAAACGTGACGACGATGTTTTCGATGGATTTTCAATTTTTACCAAAGGTCGTTTTGTCATTATCAGTGGATTAAACATTTCAGGTTGATGATGACGACGTGACGTTGAACTAGCCTCGTCAATTGAAGTAAAACAACGTGAACAATTGAGAAATTTCATTTTTTTTCCAGTGGCAGTATTTTTTTTTTGATGAATTTAAAAATTTTTCACATTATATGAGCACAAAGTTGTGAAATTTTTTTTAGTAAACAAACTTTGACACTGATAAGAATTTTTGAACTTTTTTGAGTCATTCTTTTTGCGTCAATTAATAAAAGATTCGGATGAATGAATTTGATCAAGGTCTATTATATGTAATGTTCTCCGGAGCGAAGAAGAAGAAGATGATCGTCATCATCATGATAACGAAGATGAAGAGGAAGAAGAAAAAGTAGGTGTCATATGCCTTGGAGATAATTTGTTTCGCGAGGAATATAATAAGTATAAATACATATTGAAAAATTTTTCTGATGACTCGTTTATATACGCGATGACGCTCGAGAAAGTGAACACTGACAACTAAAGTTGAATATTGCTTCGACAATAGAAAAAGAGGAAGACGTGAATCGGTTCTTGTCGTTGGTAGGCGCGTAGGGCGCTTAAGTGGAGGGTGCGCCCGTCTCGAGCAAACACGTGGGTGTAATCAGCAGGTGCATGTATGCGTGAAAGTACGAGGGACATTGCTATGGTTTGCTTCTTTGTTTAAAAAAAAAATTAAGGAGGGGATAAATCTTGGCCTTGTTGAATTAAAATTTTTGAAAAAAATATTACTACATAATATATTCGAACTTGAAAGTCAACAATAGAGGCTGTATATAAAGTATAATAGGAAGTGAAATTCATTTTCATCATTGTCGCCAATTCACACTTTACATTGTTACTGAAGAGAAATTACGTTTTTTTTTAAAAAAGATTTTAAAGCTAATTTTTTAGATTTTAAATTTAGTAACTATTCAGAATTGTATACTGCATCTAAAATGTAATACATAATCTTAATTTTATATTCCAAAATAGTGAATTTTAATTCCTAATTTTTAATTTTTAATCCATGGCTAAATCCTAATTTCTGCAATCTGAATTCAAAATACTAAATTATAAACCAAATTACTAAATTATGTTACATTCGAATTGTAATCTAGAATCCTGAATTTTACATCCTAAAAATTCTAATTCCTAGTTATAAAATCATATTCATTAATCTTAAATAATTATTCCTCATCCTAAATTATATATCCCTTTTTGGAGAATTATATTTTTATCTCTTCAATTACAGTGAATGCAATCAAATTTGTTCCAACAAACAAGGCAATAAATTTGAGATTTCCCTTTTTTTCTATATCATAGTAACTTTTATTGTTAATGAAATTCCTTTGTGCATAGAGAGATTTTTCGTTTTGATTTTGAGATTACGCATATAACCAACTCAGATTATGTCTGAGGGATTAATACATACGTGACATGGATTTGGGAACTAAAAGATTATAGCCTTTGTCAACTAAACGTCAAAGCAGTCTACTTGAATGTAATCTTGTTGATGAACTTTATATATATATATATATACATAAAATATAATATATTGTACAAGATAGAGAGATGTCATTAAATAAAGACAGTGTTCGTTAAGTGCATAATCAGCAAGGCATGAAGTCAAGGCAATTTCATGAAGGAGAGGAAATTAAATTTTAGTTGGGTTTGTCTTCGACAAATATTAGCCCTTGATTGGTATAAAATGGGACTATTTTGATATGCATGGATCAAGAACTTCAAGAGAGTGGTGGTATAAAAGTATTTGGTATAAGAAAAAAAAGGGGGAAGGAAGGAAAAATAATGTGCGAGAGGGAGAAAGAGATTAGTGAGATAACCACTACTGTACAGCACTATGTGCACTTTGTGATTTCAAGCGTGGGTGAGTTTGACAGTCGAGTTAAACGACGTATATATAGGGTCTTTTATCAAAATCAAGTGAAAGCTTAATTCCATGTTTAATTGAATAGCCATTTAGACATTATATATCTATCCAATTAAAACAACAATCGTTTTTTTTTCTTCACTTGAAAATTTTTAAGCGCCTATTTATATATAGGTGCTTAAAACAATGTGTTTTAAGAACACTTGAGATATTAAATCAGAAATCCTAATCCTCAAGTTAATAATCATCAATCCTAATCGCCAATCCTATATCCTTAATCCTACATCATTATTAATATCCTTAATTTTGATCGTCAATCCTAATCCAGTATCCTTAATCCTTAGTACTATATCCTAAATCCTATATCCTTAATTCTATATCCTATATCCTTAATCCTAATTCCTTAATTTTGATCGTCAATCTTGATCATCAGTCCCAATACTAATCCTCAATCTCGATCTAAATCCTCAATCCTAAATTCTAGTTCTAAATTCCAGACCAACATTTCAGTTTCTATTCTAAATCCATTATATAAATTTTAAATAAATATATTAAACAACTCACCAACTCCGTTTTTTGTCGGTTCGTCTGTGATTATACGCGTGTTTAATTTGATTGTTTTTGTGGTTTCTAAAAAAAATGAAATATTTTTAATTAGATTTATAGATAAAGAATTTAATAAATTCATAAATACTTTCAATAGTGTTATAAAGTAATTATGAAAATTTTAAATTATAGTAACGTTTTAATACTAAATTAATAATTTAAACATCAGATTTAAATAAAATTGTAAAAAAAATTATATGGCAGTTTTTCAAATTTTCTGGAATTGGTTTCGGACTTAAGTGAATAAAAATAAATAAAATAACAAAATTAATATTAAAATTGATTTTTTTTTTGAGAAACTTTCGTTAAAAAGAATTATGGGTGGCAGTTTTGCAAATTTTCTGCAATTGGTTTCGGACTTACGTGAATGAAACTAAATAAAATAACAAGATTATTATCAAAATTGATTATCTGTTTTTAGAAAAATCCTCGTTAAATAAAAAAAAATGTGTGGCAGTTATGCAAATTTTCTGGAATTGGTTTCGGACTTCAGTGAATAAAAATAAATCAAATAACAAGATTAATATTAAAAATGATTATTTTTTTTTGAAAAACATTCTTTAAAAGAAATTATGGGTGGCAGTTTCGCAAATTTTCTGGAATTGGTTTCGGACTTAAGTGAATAAAAATAAATCAAATAACAAGATTAATATTCAAAATGATTACTTTTTTTGAAAAACATTCTTTAAAAGAAATTATGGGTGGCAGTTTCGCAAATTTTCTGGAATTGGTTTCGGACTTAAGTGAATAAAAATAAATCAAATAACAAGATTAATATTAAAAATGATTACTTTTTTTGAAAAACATTCTTTAAAAGAAATTATGGGTGGCAGTTTCGCAAATTTTCTGGAATTGGTTTCGGACTTAAGTGAATAAAAATAAATCAAATAACAAGATTAATATTAGAATTGGTTATCTATATTTAGAAAAATGTTCTTTAAATAAAAAGAATTATGGGTGGAAGTTTTGCAAATTTTCTGGAATTGGTTTCGGACTTAAGTGATTAAATTGATTGTTTTGTGGTTTCTAAAAAAAATGAAATATTTTTAATTAGATTTATAGATAAAGAATTTAATAAATTCATTAATACTTTCAATAGTAATATAAAGTAATTATAAAATTTTCAAATTATAGTAACGTTTTAATACTAATTTAATAATTTAAACATCAGATTTAAATAAAATTGTATTTACTTTTTAAAGTTTCATTAGAACTGCTTTCCTGAAGACTACTTTTATAAATTCTTCTTTTCGGTGAACCGTTTTCCCTGAAACAATTAAAAAAATCATTTTCAAATATTAAAAAAGTAACATTTTTTATTTATATTAAAAAAAAATTAATTCTTTTAGAAGTGAAAACAATATATTGCTGCATGCACATACAATTTGTTACGGACATCTAAAACCGATGAAGTCTACTGAACCGTTACGAATAGTTATATACGTATACATGTGAGTGTATATAGACTTTCGTTCAAAAAAAAAAAAGAAAAAAAAACCAAGGACAATTGATCTGCTCCGGAAAATACGAATAACGAATATACAGGTATGTGAGGCGCACCCTCTCTCACGTGACGTCACAATCGTATTTCCGGTGACAATTAGCGCAACGGTGGGTGCTAAAGTTTCATTGTATATTATCACTATTATGTTAACCATTGCGTTTAAATATATATATATAGAGAGAGTGTATTTAAATAATGCCTTGTTAATCTCACAAATTGTAAAATTTACTCCTCTCTAAAATATACACCGATATACATATTTATTTCCGTAGTCCATCGATTCTCTCCAGAAAGAAATTCCAATCGCTTCCACTGTATGGTTTTGAGATTTATGTGCAATCGAATGCAAACAGTGAGCGCCCGAGCTACACGGAACAAAATTGCCTGACTAGTTTTTTTTTTCAAAAAAGTATTTTTTACAATCTTAAAGTATTTCACCAAAACAATCGTATTTTATCCCACACGAAAAAGGATCGCCTAAGTATAAAATCATTCTTTTTTTTACAAATACCGATTTTTTATTGCAAATTAGAGAATAGAGAAATTAAGCTGTTTGCCAGCTAATCGACAAGATTTAAATTTTGAAAATTTTTTGACACCTTTCTTCACTGCTCGTCACATAAATAAATATATTTATTTATGAAGAAAAATAATTATACTTTTTAACTTACTGATTTAATCCAAGTTTTAAATGATCGCCAGCATTTCGTAAAAGAGCGTGAGATTCACTATTTGTGAGTTCACGTGTATTTTTTCCGTTGATACTGCTAATCAAATCACCCTCTCTCACACCTTGTTGAGCAGCTTTACTTCCTGGATTCACCTGTAATCACAAATATTTACCGTTCCATTAAGCCCATTATACAAAAAGTGGAAAAAATCCTCACAAATATATAATATAAGACTGCTTTTAGTTTAGGGCAATTATCCCAGGGGGACTTTCAATAGGATTTAAAATTAAGTAAATGTAAATTAAGTATTAATTAATTTATTAATTATTTATAAATAAAATAATAGTAAAAAAAATATAAATACGAGAGTTGTCATTACATAATTTAAATTCAGAACGGTCTAACAGACCGAAAAAAGCACTAAGGGTAATTTTTTATTAGTTTCAAGATTAAATATGCTAGGATTTTTTTTCTAATTTAAAAATTCATATTTGAATTGTTCTACATTAATTTTATGGTAATAAATATTTTATCTACTTATTGCATTGTAAAACAAAAAAAAAAAAAAAAAAAAACAATTCTAGTTGGACGAAATGTTGAACCGGTATACGACAGTGTAGAGCGGGTGGCCTGCCTGCAGGAAATTTATCACAGTTTAGCGCGGCTCGTCGAACTTTTCGAGCCTCGGGTTCACAGTGAAAGCTCTTTTCTAGACGAGAAGCGCTGTGAACCAACCACTAATTCGACGCTTAAATTCTCACCATGGCATTGCGCCTTCGTTGAGCGGGAGAGCAGAATTTCAGCATACTGATCACGCTCGCAAAAAAAAGTCTCTGTCCTATGCAGATGCGCTCTTTCCCGTTCGTAGAATTGAAAGAGTACTCGCGGAAAAAAAAGAAAGAGAGAGAACAAACGACGTGCCGCTTTTTCTTCTTCTTCTTCAATGCTCTTTTGTTCTGAATTAATGTTACATATATATAAGTATATATATATAATTGCGAAACTCTTAAAATATTTTTTAAATACTTTTTCTTTTTTCTAATAAATTGTCTATTTTTAAAATTTCATCATCTTTGAAATTATCCTCAAATTTCGATAATTCTGATTTCTTTCTTTTTATGAAAACTATCCAATTACTATAAGTAAAAAGTAATTGATTCTGTAAAATTTAAATTAATAATTTAATTAAATATTTATCTGACGTCTAATGGAAAATGATTTTTTTTTCCTATAGAATTATTGAATATTTGAAAAGCATTAAATTTTTAAAAATGCAGAATGGTCAAGGATAGAGAATAGAGTCGATATTTCATAGATAGCCAATATTCTATTTTCAAAAGACCGCTAAATGTCTCTCTCGACAATTTTCTGCTTTAAAATTTATATACCTTACTAATAGTGTTTCAACACAAAAATAGAATTTATTTGATAAAAGAAAAAAATATATATTCAAGATAAATTTTTTTTCTTCACTTTTTTGCATGACGAAATAAATTTAAAAAATTTAAATATTTAACCAAATAAATAATTAATAAAGAATTCCAATTTATTTTGAATTTCACTTGCTTTGTAATTGTGTAACACAATTTTACATTAGTTTGATTTATTTAAATTTTCCAATGATTGAAATGAATTAAAATGCCAACAATGTCAGTGATTTAAAATAAAGAATTTAGTTTTATTTTACATGAAATTTTACTGAATTCAAATAATGTTTTTGATATTGGTCTTTTTATAGGAAGTAAAATGTAAACGTCAAATAAATGATAACAATACTGAAAAAAGAGATTTAAAAAATAGAGTTTAAAAATTAACGAATTTTTTTTATATTGGCACAATTTTAAAAACACTTGATCTTAAATCCTCACTTTAAAAACATAAGCCTTAATCTTTATTTTAAATCCTAATAAGCAATCCTGATTGTCAATCCTAATTCAAATTCAGAATCCTAATCCTCAATCCTAATTCTAAATCCACAATCCTGATCATCAATTCTGATCGTCATTCATAATCCTAAATCCTCATCATCAAACCTAATCCATTCTGTTGGATAAATAATTTTAACTCCAGTAAAGGAATGTCGATAAAATAATAAGTTTTTTATTTTGAAAAAAAGTCACTCAAAACTTAGGTAAGGTCAACGTTATCAGACGTAAGTTGAATTTTAATTACACGCTTTCATGAGGCGAAACGAAAAAAAAATTTAGACGACGTTGTTCAATGTAGAAGAGGAAAACGAAAACTGGCGGTTTTCTGTTTCTTGGATGACACGAGACTGTGGGGTGTGCAACCACATCACTATATGGCGCTTATATACCACGGATAAAACACGCAAGTCTTTTTGGCCTGACCTTCTTCAGCGACCTGTTATTCATTTTTCTTGCAACCTACAAAAAAAAACCCACGGGGTGCATTCTCCCTTATTTATTGACATTGATACATCTATAAATAAAGACTCTAAATAGCGAAAAATGTCACGGTTTTTTAGTGTTTCTAAATTTAAAATACTTTTTTTAAAATTTATTTTACAGAATAACCAGGTATAAAATAAGTACTCAATTATAGATGATAGAGAAATTGTAATAAAAAAATAAATACAATAACAAGATTAATATTAAAATTGATGAACATTTTTAAAAATATTTGTGTTAAATAGAAAACATTATGTGTGTCAGTTTTAAAAATTTTCTGGAATTTGTTTCGGACTTAAGTGAATAAAAATAATTAAACTAACCAGATTAATATTAAAATTGATCCTCATCTTTAGTTAAATGTTCTTTAAATAAAAAAAATTATGTATGGCAGTTTTGCAAACTTTCTGCAATTGGTTTCGGACTTAAGTGAATAAAAATAAATAAACTAACTAGATTAATATTAAAATTGATTATCTTTGTTGAAAAAGTTTTTCGTTAAATAGAAAAAATTATGTGTGGCAGTTTTGCAAATTTTCTGGAATTAGTTTCGGACTTAAGTGAATAAAAATAGTTAAAATAACAAGATTAATATTAGAATTGGTTATCTATATTTAGAAAAATGTTCTTTAAATAAAAAGAATTATGGGTGGGAGTTTTGAAAATTTTCTGGAATTGGTTTCGGACTTATGTGAATAAAACTAAATGAAATAACAAAATTAATATTAGAATTGATTATATATATTTAGAAAAATGTTCTTTAAATAAAAAAAATTATGTGTGCCAGTTTTGCAAATTTTCTGGAATTGGTTTCGGACTTATGTGAATAAAACTAAATAAAATAACAAGATTAATATTAGAATTGATGATATATATTTAGAAAAATGTTCTTTAAATAAAAAAAATGATGTGTGGCAGTTTTGCAAATTTTCTGCAATTGGTTTCGGACTTAAGTGAATAAAAATAAATCAAATAACAAGATTAATATTAAAATTGAGGAACATTTTTAAAAACATTTCGTTAAATAAAAAAAATTATGTGTGGCAGTTTTGCAAATTTTCTGCAATCGATTTCTGGCTTAAGTAAAATATAGAGTAATAAATATAGTAAAAAAATGTATTTCTGATTTTATTTGTAATGGACTTTTAAAATTTATAAAAACTCATAAAAACTTTTAGTATACTAATAAAAAATAGCGAGTTCTGGAAAACAAAAACTTCGCAATATGAAAGTATTTTAACTTTAGTGTATTATAAAGTAAAGTTTTTTGCAACCTCAAATTTTTAGTTTCTTTTCTCGTTCATCAAAATTTTCAGATTTTTTTTTTAGTCTTTGAAATTAAAGCTGAGAAATTACAGAGATAGATCACAGTAATTCATGTGTGTGTATAAATAAAAAAAATCTGTAAATAGCCAGAGGATAATGACACTCCCATATCCTTAGAAACTATATATGAAAAAAAAATGTAACTACTTTTTTTACAATACATTAACAAAATAAAAGAAGACATTATCGAATAAAGAGAAAACTTTTAAATATGCCATGTTATATTACTTTTTTTAAAATGCTTCTTTGAACAGAAAAAACGTTTGAGGAAATTACTCGTGTGTAGAAAAATCGCATTTTTTACACTTCCAGATATAACAGTTAACATATATATTTATATATATATGTATACATATATACATAACGGAAAATTAAAATTTATTCATCCGTGAAATATTTAACAAACAGGATAAAAGGATGAAAATATTAATTCTTTATTTAGAAAAAATCTCTTGTTTAAAAAATATTTTTAATTCAATTTTTTTTAGAATCATAAAAAAATACCGATGAGATATTTAAATCTACATTGATGCTTTTTAATATTGACGCTTTTTAATTTAAAAGAAAATTTCACTAACGATAAAAATCAAAACAATTTCAAATTTTATTGAATAATAAATCCGTATTTTAACCAGAGTTGAAATAAATGAAAAATAGACATTTATTGAAAAAAATTGTTATCCTGGGAAATATTTTCCTCTCTATTTGACAAATATTTGCAGAATTTTTTTTTTTCAATCAGATAAAAGGGAAATTTAAACCTTTTAAAATTTTGAGGTAAATAAAATATCACAATAATTCAAACAGGAATTTTAAATTACAACTCGATCAATAATTTAATAAATAATGATTAAAAGAGGAGAGGAAATTTATGATTTTCACAAATGAAATTAAATAATAATTTTAATAAAGTTTTGATTTTTTTTTTAAAGAGAATAAAAAAAGAAAATTCCTTTTAAATTTTTATCTTGGCATTATTCTCAATTATTGAAACAATGTTTTCCAGGTGTAAATACTTAAAAACTTGTATTATGCAAAAAAAAAGAAGAAAAGACTGTTGTTTATTTTTCTCCTTAAGTTGACTCAAACAATTTCTCTCGAGTTATACGAAAACTTGAAAGGAAATTTTAAAACAATTTTATTGACTAGAAACAGAAAGTTTTCGACTATTTTTTATAATTCAGGTCATGTAGAGATTTTTTTTTCTTTTTATACACATACAATGAAGCATTCTCCTCGTATCCGGCTGGGTCCAAACTACGTGAGAAGAATCTCACCCCTTTTTTCTTTTTATTCTCTAATTTTCATTTAACTATTAGAATAAAATAAAATTTCAAAAATTATCTTATACAAAAAATAAAAATAATATGAGAATCAAAAAACAAAAAATTTAATTTTCATATTCCTAAAGAGAA